TCCTCTCAATCTCGAACACTGTCACGGATCTTGGGATGACATATGCAGATTTATCCTTCTCCTACCATGCAAATAATGTGGTATCTGACTCACTGGCTTCGCTTCGCGTAACTATTACATTAAAGTAGAAAGATTAGCTAGCTCTGCCCCTAACAGCTATAGGTCTGCACGGGCTTCTTGTCAAGTTGCTACCCTGTTGGACCTACACAAATTAGTGTGACATCTCATGGGTGAGCGTGTCATGCATTTTCAAGTGTTTCCAGACCTATGAAGCAACTTCTGATTATTATATTGTGGTGAGAGCAGGCCGTGAGAAAATATGAGCAAGGCTGATTCAACAACCAATCACAGCAAAGTTAACGTGGCAAAATATGATTCGCAGATAGAGAACTCTATTTGTCGAGGAATCCCGAAACAACCAATCAGAAGCCTGCGTTTGTCTGCCTAACTTCTGATAAACAACCAATCAGATGACTGCGCTTGCCTACTTGCATAAGCTATAATAATGCATGTGAAATATGTATAAATACGTGTTGATTTTCATGATAAAACGATCTGTTGCCTGGCCCTTGTCTTCTGTTGTTACAATATCACTTACATATTTTGCAATGATCTTATCTGATCGCTACTGTACGCTGTTATATCTTGGCTGTTAGCGTCTTTAATAAAGCTATTGTTTTTATTAATGTTATGTCTTCGTCGCAAATAAGTTATCAGGTCGTTACCAATATAATGGTGTGTCCGAGTGTAACTATTCGCTTATGAGATATGACGGACGATAACGTACAGACTGGTATTAGTAAGTACTTAATTTGTCCTGACGCGAAGGAGGCAAATCAGGAGACCACGACGTTCGCGAAGATACGTGTATTTTCCAGCAAGGAAAATTAAATGTCACACAAGAGTGTGTGTGGAAAAGTACTAAGAGTACGAAAGGTGTGGAAGAGTGCATCAACTGTACAATACAGCTCATATCAACATACGACTCACCTGTGTTACGCCCACAAATTCTAGCATGCATACCAAACCTATCGCAGTAGTAGCAATTGTTTCTGAAAGTAAACTGCGACTGTTGATGTCCTTTCCTCGGTGGTATGGGCTTCTGTCCGTGTTTTGTTGACCTGTTCTGACATCCTACTGCGTTTATTTCTGGACATGTGGTTTCGCCACTCTTCCAGGCTTTCCAGTAGGTGTGCCCTTGTTTCAGTTTCTGCCATTTATGCTGGAGTGTACAATCGGAAATCCTTCTTTCAACGGGAGTAGACACACTGCAGGGTCTTATAAAATACAGCGTCTTCAGCTTTCGAATACGGCTTATCCTGCATAGCTTGACGAGTTAACTTGCAGGGACTCAAGATGAACTGGTTGATGGATTCACCGTGTTTCTGTATGCACTAGCTGAGTCACTTCAGAGATTCAATATGAGGTACTGGCGGCACTACACGTGCTCTCAGAGTACTCAGAAGGGTAATTAGGGGCGTATGCGCACAATCCAAACCAGTAAAGTGCACTTTCAGGGACCGCCCAACACGATTGATGATGAATGCATTCGGGTGAGGTACGTTCATCGGCTCTACGTATCGAGACACTTTGTCCAGCCGTAGATCGAAGTCATCATCGACTCCCGGTTTATGTGGAAAAGGATGGACATAACTCGACACAGGCTGATTTGATTGAAAAGCTCGAGCCATGGCTAGTTGGCGCTCATCAGCAAGGCGTATCTGCAACCTTGAAGGAACTCATGTCCCTTCTGAGATTCAAACCCGCGTCACACAGTGCTGCAGTCAGATGCGTTACCACTGAGCTATTCGGTCTCGCGATTGACCTGGCTGAAGGAAGGATTACACACGTCACACTAGCTGCTAGTGTGTAATTACAAGTATTGAATTTTTAGCAAGTGATTTCGGTAGCCCAAATTTGCAGGCCAACCAGTAATATCAGGTGTGCGTCAGCTGGGGATCTAACCCAAGACCATGTGCATAGTCGGCGAGAGCCCTGACCTCCATGCCACCGACGCAGGTACTACAAAATTTCACCGTAAGAACTGTGGCGTCCAACAGAATATTGGAATCCGCTGCATTCACCTAACTTTCTATGGCTAAAGGAAGTCTGATCAAGCAAGAATGATTTGCTCTAAAACCATGATGTTCATCGATCGAAAATTCTATAGCTCCGACATGCTAAACAACATCACGAGTGATCCTCCTTAGTGGCTTGGCGCAAATAGTTGTTAAACTACCATGATGTTAGTTCTCGATCAAACTCCTACGTCTGATGTAGAAGATTGGGATGATGATGGCGTCTTTCCACTCTTTCAGCCAATAAAACTGGCTGATTCCGCAACTGAAGCGCAACAACAATGGTTGCCCTACAATCTCGGCTCGTGCTGATTATATGCAGGTAGAGTTTGCCACGGCTATCGAACTCACTAGGAGTTAGAACAAGAACCAATTGTGGGACAATTTCCTTCTGAATGTGTTGGGGTTGATAGTCACTCTGTTGGTAAGATTCTTGTGACTACTAACAGACAGCGTTCGAGTCACAAGTGAGACGATTTGACAGTTAATTCATCAGACACATAAATATTGTTTGACTTTCTGATAAAGAAAAAAATAGATCCAATTTATCAGAGGCATTCTCAAACGAATTACTGAGCTCCTGTGGACTTTTACTGTGGTTGTTGTGGAATGATTTGACTTTTTTCGGGAGCTTGAAGAACAAGATCGAATAACTTTCCGAATGGAGTGGCTTTGTTGCATATCCCAGCTAATTGCAGCAGCATTGTCCATTGCTATGTTGGTTTAATGCTGTGTTGTTTTTTATATGCTTTTTTAATTGGAACTTCTATTAAAATGTTTTCCGACGTAGATATTATTATATTCTTCAACTGTGTACATTTGCTGCACTTTGACTAGAAAATCCACCCAGATACTGATATTTTCACAATGTAATGGATTTAAGGACGCAGCAAGTTCAAAAACGAAACGTATATTCTCAGATTTTCCTGAAATTATGCTAGTTTATTCGGACTATTTGTGAAACGAGACAATAACCACTTAATAAAGCTTTACTTCAGAAAGGGACATTCCATGTGGTCGCCCCCTCCGAACACAGTTTTGTTAAAAACAATAAGAATTTTCTAATCTTCATCCTTTTCATTTTACACCCTTAGCACGATAAGGCTGCTAACTACCACTGATGATATTGCTGACTGTGGTGGACTGGATCATGCAGCAGGCGATGGGGATTGAGAGGACTGAAAATAAGGCTCTCAATGACCTGGGCTTTGATGATGATTTATGCTTATTGTTGTAAGAATGAGGAGATCTACGAGCAAAACCCAAAAGACTGACAGAAGGGGCAGCAAAAACAGGACTTCAGCATAGAGAACTCAGAGGTGATGAAAATACCTGAATAACAACAAGTGTGGTGAGAGCGGGCTGTTAGTCAAAATTGGTGGACAGTAATTTACATCAATGTTTATGTCCCCAATATTGGTGGTGAGAAAACTGAGAACAAAGGCTTTGTGTAGGCGGATACAGTTAACATATAGATGATCTGACATTCAAGAAACAGCCAAAAAGAGATGCAAGGTTAGCTTTCTGTGAGAAACAACAAATCAGAAGATTGTGTTTTTCTGATAACAATAATCTATAATATATACATGAAAATCTATAAATATGTGTTGATTTCCCTAATAAACGATCTGTTGCCTGGCCCTTGTCTTCTGTTGTTACACAAGGAGCATCAATCACCGTCAGCAAAAAAACTTAAAGGAAGTCACTACTTCTCCTAGCTTTGGCAGCATAAATGAGGATGACAAGGGAGGTGTGGGTCGAAATGGGAAAGATAGGTGTTCATCGCTGTGAGTGAGCTTTTATTTTTCAGTTTACTTTTTTCTGTGGAGCAAGGTATATCGGCGTCAGGTTGTGGTGAGAGCAGGCTGCTAGCCAATTGGTAGACATTAATCTACGTCAATGTCTAGGTCACTAATATTGGCCGTGAGAAAATATGAACAAGGCTGATTCAACAACCAATCACAGCAAACTTAACTTGAACAAATAAGATTCGCAAATATGTGGCTTAACTTTCCGAGAAACCAGAAACAACCAATCAGAAGACTGTATTTGTCTGCTTGAATAAGCTATAATGTACATGAAATATATATAAATACGTGCTGATTTCCGTAATAAAACGACCTGTTGCCGGTCCTTGTCTTCTGTTGTTACAAGGTATTTGAAAACACTAGGTAGTATGACTAACTAGAGGATACAGAAGAATTTTTTAAGTGATATCTCCAAACATCCTGTAAACTTCTGGACATCGGATACTGTTCCAAAGCGGTCCAAAAGTCCCCTCGATATCGGAGAGGGTAATAGAAACGCCATTTATACATAGTCTAATCACTGGCTATTTGGGACCCGAAACCTAACCTCTTTAATCAAAAGTATTACACAAATACTTTATTGTACCTCTACTATTGTTTCCCTTTTATAAAACCAGATAGATTAGGACATCTATGCATTACTCAATAACAACAAGTTTATTATTTCACACCTGTACGTTCTCTTCAAACTACGTATAAGAATTCCTGCAACATATCACTGTTTCATTGATTTTTTGAATCTCTCTGTTGATTGCATATATATATATCATTTGAAAATGGTTCACTGAAAAGAAAATTTTATTTACTGAAACATATCATGTCCTATAAGTGTATATAGAAATTTTCCGTTCAAATACGTGCTAACCACAAGTGATACTAGTAAAGTTCACCGACACAATACATTATAATATTTATTTACTAGAATAATAAATAAAATAAAGTCGGAGAGAAGTATTTTATGGGAGAGAGCTAGTTCATATTCGCAAAGTAACAAATCGCTAACTGGTGCTTCGTAGTGCGATGATATCCAGCTATTCAACTATTCGAAAACAATTCAAAGTTATTATTCTTTACTTGAATGGTTAAATTTTGGGAATTATTAATTATGCATCACTTTGTTTATTAATTATATTATATTTTTAGATACTAAGAGAAAAAACTTCGATTGGAGTGTACATTGATAAAACTACATATGCATATAAGGTCATATATATATAAGAAAATGATGATTAAGTAAAAAATACTTTTATTCGTCAGGATACTTCGAGTAAATAAGCAAATGTTATGTGTGAATAATATATATGAATTTCCAGGAGCAGAAGGAGGACGCAAAGGTTTGTAGATTAGTGGACTATACACATAAAAGAATAAAACTGAACGATTGGTCTCTCTTTCACTAAAGCGATATGTTGGGCAGTTATCTGTAAATGAAACAAACAAATATTCACGAAGTGTTTACTTTAAAAAGTTATTAATAACAGGTGAAATTATCAATATGAAGGACTTTCGTAAGGTTCGTGTGGTGATTGACAATTTCTATCTCTGTATTGTTTAAAATACTTACTGTTGACTGTTGATATGTTTCATATATGAATTGCATAATAATTCCGCTAAATACAAATTCCTGATTGCTGCCCTCTCTGGGTTTTGTTTAGATTCCTATAATTCCGTCATCTCGGTATATTAATATTCCTATTACAATAAATTACTACAAATTGGCGTCGCGATGGAGCTAAGTAACCTGGGAAAATTTCCTCTTAATGGTTCTCCGCGGGAGATTGCTGATTATTTGGAATGCTTTGATGCGTGGTGCATTTCCAAGAATGTTCGGGATGACAAAATACCTGCTCATTTCATCACCGCTATTGGGCTTGATGCATATAGCCTGGTGAAGAATCTGGCATTTCCAGATAAACCCATTTCTATGTCATATGCTAAGCTCCGTGAACTTCTTATAGATCACTTCCATGTAACTACTTTTGAGACCAGAGAGAGGGCTCACTTCAACAAACTGGTACGTTCTCCCAACCAGAAGATTAGAGACTTCATTCTTCAACTTCAAATTCAAGCCTCAAAGTGTAATTTTGGAGATCAGCTGCATACACAACTACGTGATCGTCTAATTGCTGGAATCAATATTCCTAAATTAGAGAAAGAGTTAATTCAGATTCCTTCTTGTACTTTTCAAACTGCTAAAGATGTATGTATTACATATGAAGATGTCAACAATGAATACTCTGCTCCCACTACGTCAGTATCTGATGTTATGCTTTCTAAAGTCGAAAATACAAGTGGTCATGGAAAGCAATCCAAACTGCCGTCCACAGGTAATAGAATGCAGCCAGAGATCAAAAACATTAAACCGTGTTTATCCTGTGGAAAGTTACATCTACGAAGCACTTGCCGTTTTCGGGTGCTAAGTGTCACAAATGTGGTAAAGTTGGACACATCAAGACGGTTTGCAGAAGTTCGAATACTTATGTTGCTCAACATTCTTATAATTCTCCCAAGCTGTCTAGTAAAATGGAGTCTATGTGTCTTTCAACCTTTCAAAATACTCAAGCTAATCCGATGAAAACCTCCACTACAAGTTCAGCAACGCAAGCATCAACTGTTTTCAAAAATGAGGTAGCCAAGTTGCAATGTGAACTGTCGAAAACACGAAAAGACCTGAATGAGATGAGAGAGCAACTGAATAAAATTGAGGAATTACTGCATATGCATAGACTACGTCTGGTGAATCCAGAGCATACAAGTTCTTGTGAAAGTCCTGCAAAACTATTCAAATCTCGAATTCTCAAAAAGCATCTGATGTCCACGACTTCTAATGTACATTATTACAAAGATAATAACTACAGACCTTCTGTTGGAATTATACTACAAAAAATGGGAAATCGAGTGGTGAAGATATTAGACATCAAAGATCACTCAGTTCATAACGGACACCTGGACAAAGTGACAATAAATGAAGTAGGTCGTTCCAATTATAATATTATTGATTCCGCTAATAATCCTGATTTTGTAGATAATTCAGAAATAAGTCCAGATAATACTGATGAAAATAATATCACAGAATCAGTTAGGTCGAAGCTACTTGCAAGCAAACCGAGACATCGTTATAAATACGCGAGGAGATATTCGAGGTGTGGCGGATGTGGTGATTGACAATTTCTATCTCTGTATTGTTTAAAATACTTACTGTTGACTGTTGATATGTTTCTTATATGAATTGCATAATAATTCCGCTAAATACAAATTCCTGATTGCTGCCCTCTCTGGGTTTTGTTTAGATTCTTATAATTCCGTCAGATCGAAATACTAATATTTCAAGTACAATAAATTACTACAGTTCGCGAATAAGTGTTATTATATAATCGTATTTCTGACATTTGACTTCTAACAATTAGTATTGAAACTAGCAATAAGTTTTAGTAAAGTATTATTATGCCGTAGCACTTTTCAGCTGATCGCTTTACATACAGAAAAATACTTGGATTTACGGGGACTTGCGTAATTCGAGTTTGTAAACCCAGTCTCCGTGTACAGAAGAAAGTGGTGCTCACTTGGAATCTAACATGGTGACATCGTTTACTTATTAACGGTTATTTATTAGTATTTCCTGCCATCTTTTATTACTATTATTCTTGACTATCATTTGTCAGTACAATTATCTTAACTCGTCACCTGACATTTCGAAGTTCTTCCTTTGATAAATGAAAATAATTAAATGAATAATAAATAATGATAAATGATATAATTGATCCGTGATACATTGTTATTTGAATTATTTATTTATTTTTTGATTACAGCTTGATTTCACACTGTATTCTTGGTATAAGTATGGAATTTTCAGCCTACGTTATCGGTAGCCCAAATTTTGCAGGCCGACCATAGATATCAAGTGTGTGTCAGCAGGGGATTGAACCTCGGACCATGTGCATGGTCGGCGAGAGTCCCAACCACTGTGCCACCGACGCACATCTCTCACACCCTGTCCTCTTATCTATCTGAACGTTATGCGTAAAACATTAGCACCTGTTGATTTGCATGATTGATTCACTGAACTGAACTACATTGCCATTTTGCCTGGATAAGTGAGCATGCCGGAGACCTGATTAAGAGGACTAGAAACTGATAAATCAAAAAGACTTTTATTTGGTGACTATTTTCTGCATTTTTCAAAATCGTTTATATCCTGCCGAAAGTATAACTTTAGTCAGTATTCTTTAAATGAGATAAATAAGGAATGGCATCAAAACCCTTATTGATAAATGTGGTTCATGTTCACATTCACTTATCTTACACCTAAGAGTTCTTTAAGAATTAACCAGGCCTCTATCATTCAGTTTTGTTAATAAGTAACTTCGAAAATCAGACAGCCTTTTGTAATTTCCAAAATATGGTGAAAAATAGATCAGAAAGCTTTACAAGTATTTCTGACTGATTCACTTCTGCCTCTTCATAATCATACAGGATAATAATAACCGTGAGTTCTTTTGGTTAGAATCCGCTTTGAAGTGCAAATATAACTAGTTCCGCAAGAGCAGGCGAAGTCTTGAATTCGTGGGATGTGTGATAGTTAAACATTTTATGCGTACTAATCATAAATTCTTAACTACCTGTTCATTCAAAGTTATTTAAAAGGTGAAAAATATTACGTCAAAATAAGCATGTGTTAGTCGAATTTCGCATTATTGAAGATGATTATGCCGATAGTCATCTTGGAAACTTCGTTACTAAGATCTCATCTACATGTGGGTGAGTACAAGATCTTATAAGTCTGTTATATTCGAAAATAATCAAGACAGCCGTTGTAATAGACAGAAGAAAAATGCATAAAACTTAAATTTCAAAAGGTGTACAAATATGTAACATCACTAACTGAAATCTGCAATTGAATGTAGAGGAGGAATTTATCCTAGATAAAATATTAGCTTTGCATATGCATGGGAATTACAAATAATGGTTTGTGAGAGCACATATATATATATATATATATCTACCACTACTAAGAAACATTGCTTACCTAGGTACCATGTAACTGCAAGTGACTATTATCTTTTAACTTGGTGTCACTCTGACTACAACAGGAGTCTGTAAATGCATTGTCTTTTTTAAGTGTAGGTTCAATAGAAACGCTACGGAGAAGCGGGACAATTTTTGGTTCAGACTGACGACCGAAACGTCTAGACTTTTCAACACCAAGTGAAGACGGATCACACTTTGTATGATTAGCATCTCGTTGCAGTGTTGGATTAAATACCACAGATGCAGTGTAAACTAGTCCACGCGATGGAGAATATTCGTTTGTTGAAGATGATTTTTGTTTGAATGATTTTGTTGGAGAATTAACTGATTCTCGATATGGTTTTGGAATATTACTGTGGAAAGAACCACGAGTATCCTTCTCTTGGCAGCTATCCCTTACTCCAATCACTTTAGTTCCAACATTTCCTACATTTTCATGTTCTGGATAATGATCTTCATAACGTGTTTTGTTCCCATGCAAGCAATCATCTGTCTTTGATGAAGTTTCACGACGGAAATCTAATCCTTTTGTAGATCGAAGAGTTCCACCGGTAAAATCATTTTTCTTTGTATTAGATCTACAAATTAAGTCAGGCGAAGGAAGAGGGGTATGCATTTGTGTATGAGTAGTGTGCAGAAATTTCTTTTCTTTACTACTGCACGGGTTATATTCTTTGTCTACAGGTTTATCTGCCTCTTCACTTTGAATATGTGCAGTAATTTGAGATTCACTTGGGATCTTCTTTTTAAAAAATGAAATCCTTTTATTAGAAGACTGAAATAAAAACAAAAGCAGTATTACACATTTAAAAGTTATATTCAATTGTACACAATACTTTTAAAAGCGTATGGCGTCTTAGTAATATATATTCATTAATGTTTTTCAAATTCATTTGATATTTAGCCACAGTGTATTTAATAAATTCTCTTTCTCTCCTATATATATATATATATATATATATATAATGCTTATACTATTATCATAATTAATTAGGATTCGAGAATGAACGAATTCACATGTATGATAACTGCATGAGAAATCAAATTATTGGACTGGAGAATCAATCAGCAAATCACCACTGTATGACAATTTAAATGACACTAATGAAGAAAAAGGATGTGAAATCAATATTCTTGGCCTCCCATTTTTCGCCTTCAGATGTCTGGAACCAACTATTTTAAGATATTTAGAACTCAGTTGACAGGAACAGATTTTTCATACGCCAAACTATGAGCCACACTTGTTGTGTGAAGGCTCATCAGTTCTACCTAATTGACCATATCGAAGTAGGTGTGGCGAGATCCTAACCTGGAACCACTCGGTTGACGGTTGGGAGCTTAAGTCAATCAGCTAATTTTCCATAAAACCAAGTGTAATGTAATATGGTGCTAGCTAACACAATATTGCACTCTTTAAGCTCAGAGTTTCAGAAATTAGACATGCCTATCACAAGAGGAATTCCCTTCTTTCTTGAAGACTAGAACCACTCCAAGGACATAATATATGCCTCCTATGTCTCAGCTGAAGTCTTAATCAAATTAGGTAATACTGCTGGTTCACGACACTTCACTTCTGGAGATAGCTCAACAGATCTCATTGTTCTCATTCATGTTATTATCGAAATTACAGGTTTTCATAAACGCTGCAACAGTCAGTAAATATTCAGGTTTCGAATAAATATTGAAAGACTAGAGGTGCAGCTAATGGATAGCTGAACTATCAATTAAAATTTTTCTCCCAGTGGTTTAGTCGCTTTCTCTATGGAAAATGTAGTCACTAATAAATACTTCACAATTAGTCTGTCTGTTTTTGTGATTTACCTAAAGTTTACATTTAAAATAATTAGTTGAGATAAATTACATCTTCCTATTGTTTTGTTGGATTTTACTTTTACCTGTCACTGCTGTTTCCTACATCTGTTCATCCTTTGCTTTTCCACAATTATTAAACTGACTCTATATATTAGTCTGTATTTAGACTGTCTTCATAATTCAATGTGCTTGAAGTTTGCGGCGGTCAGCTCTTGTGCATGGATAGCTTTTTAATATATTGTTGACATTCGCTATAACTTTTTAGTGGTTTTCTGATGACAGAAAACAGAAATTTTGAAATAATTATGGGTTTTCGAGGAAGACGAATTTTCCTGTTATGAAAACTTTCTACTCTTATTTCTTTTTTTTATATACAGACTGCAATAAGAAGCAATTAATTTTAAGCCTTTAACTAAATTAAGGTTATCAGTCTGAAATTCTTATAAACAAACTGTGGCATTTTTCGAAAGTATTTCCTGAGTAGCTTCTATGGATCTCAATTTCTACAACTAGGCGTATATAATGAGAATGAATCAAAGAAAGAGTTCTTCACGTGTCGCATGGATTTAGATCAAGAAGGTGCAACCGGTCCCGTGAATGAGTTATTTTAGATAAGTTAATAGATCATTACAAAAATGGTAAGAAATCATATTCCTGTATGGACAGCAACAGTCAAAGTAAACATTATTAATTCCTTTAGGCCCATCTTATTGATTCGAATCATATAACAGAGATTCAATCCAACGTTTTCGTGAATGAAAAGATACTTACGAATCTACAACAGATAGTCTCAATTAGTTTCTTGGATACATCTAAAGAGACTACTATAAAAATCCTGAATTCACAACTGTGTACATTTTAAAGTCCAGGATATTCACGTGTACATACATTCACATTGGTAACTTCGATGTAACACAATTTCGAATTTCAAAAAGATCAAAACAATTGTATATGATTATATATACTATGTTTTGTCTGCGTTGGCGCAAACATCGTGAATCTCAATTTATTACTATATTATTATTATTATTTTTGTATGTATCTAGGTCTTACATACTATCTAAACATTATAATTATACTTTTTACCTCCCAGTTTTAGCGCCAAGCAGTGGTGTGTTTTTGATTTTCAGTCTTCTTATCCATTAACTGTTAAAATTCTTGTAAAAAATAGGTAAGAAAGTGTTACTCAAATGATTTTGCATCTTGTATGCTTCAAAATTTATATTAACGCTTTATGTGTGTTCGAGTGTATTCATTGTAAATATACTGCATTCAGAGGTTGAGCAAGAGGATCGGTTCACTAAAGAGGGTGGGAAAGAAAATAATGGTCTGAAAGAATGTAAGCTACACAAATAGTTCTTCTCTATGTTTGAGTAAAGAAGACAAAATTCATAATTTATGAAATAAATGTTTTATGATGTGTGAAGAATATCATTGAGTATGTTCGTCAGTGGTTCAATAGTAGAATGCTTGTCAGCCACGCACGTGGTCCGGGGTTGGATTCCCAGCCGATGTACGCCTAAACATTCCCTAGTTTTTCTAGTCGTCAGTATGTTCGGGAGAGAGGGAGGGATGGGCGTAGGGGTGGCAATCCATCTTGTTAAAAATAACCACGACTACTGAACTTTCAAGTTGTCAAAATTGAAAGCGTTATGGGCTACCCAGAACGCAAAGGAATGAGAAAAAATGTGAGTGAAAACTTAACACGGATTGGTAAAGGGGAATGGATAACTGACTTATTACTAGTGTGTCTGGTTAATATGAATGATTCCTCCAATATTAAATATCAATATCTTTCCTTCATCGGATTGTAAATCAGGTATCTTACTAGGTTTTGTGTTATATTATTTGATCAAACATCACAACTTGAAAGGTGATCTCCACTGTATCAAGGTTTTACACAAACAAGAAAATTAGAATAAAATCCTTTTGCTGAATTCATCTCTAAAAGGGTCATTTGGAACAGAAATATCAGTATGCTAAACAGAATCGAAGCAATTTACCATTAACACCTAAAAGGAATGCAGTGAATTGACTTTGTTTTAAGGTAGTACTCAAGATAACACTTAAGTTGATGTTGAGATTTCAGTTAGCGAACACGAAAGTCAGATAGACAACAAAACACCAGTAAGGTGACGTAAAAATATTTCATATGTTGAAAAAGACTCCACTGGAACATCAGTAGCTTCAGTTACTAGTAGTTCTAATTGTATCAAAGGCGCTTATCACAAAACTTTCATGGGAAAAGGTCAAAGCAAAGAATACATTATCTTTCATTTACAGCAGAAATATTTTACTACACTTACTGATCTATAATGTTTTAGATCATGGCCGAAATTCTGATTTCTGGAAAGCAACTTCAAGTCTTTTGGTCTTGGTGGTTTAATAGAATTTTCGTTTTCCAGATTTGGTATAGATTGGTTATTATGTGCGATATTACTGCTGTTTGGATCTTTCGTTGTAAACGATGAATCATTTAATCTTTTTTCATTATTAGAGTACAATAATTGTCCTCTGTTAGGGTTATTAGTATTCATGTTGTTGTTATTATTATTAATTTCGTTGGATTTCTTTTTAACTGTTGGAGGCTTTTCATCACTATTCAACTCATGCTCTAAGTGTTTTGAGTAAGTAGATGAATGGCTGTTAATATTACTACTATTATTATTATTATTGTTATGAAGAGGCAATCGAGAAGGTAGGCGACGCACAGGTTTATTACTATTGTTATTTCTTTCATAATTTTCCAATAAATCTTTTTTATTACCTGTTTCGTGAAATTCACAACAACTACAATGTTCACGTTTATAATTTTCTGCATAACGTAAACCAACTGAGCATGTACTTTGGCTATTAGCATCATGATGTTCTTTTCTACCTGATGATTGACGTTTTGAAGATTTACTGAAGTGTTTCAATTTTGATTTATGTGAAACAGAACGATGAATAGCATTATTTGGCTCTAGACTACCGCCTCGATGATTTCTTTCGCTTTTATGAGCTATAACAACCGATGTATAACTGGGAATATGTAAATGATGTGGACAGTTGAATGCTGGTTGAACGTCTAGGGAAGAAGTAGAAAATGAATAAGATGAAGCAGATGATAGACATGGACTATCTGTAGGTGATGTGGTGACAGATGTGCTGACATCATCGTGTGAATGACGATCAATCTTTTCACAATGACAACAAGGCTGATGATTAAGACGATTTATATTTATTGGTATATGTGACGTAATAATATGGTGTAGTTTACGATTAGATGATTTGAAATGTTTCCTTTGATACTCTTGGATATTACTTGAAGCACTTTCACTGGGAACTACACCTTTATTGACATCTTCAAAGCAAACAGATGTGTAGTGATGTTCAGATGGTTTAACTTTGATAATTTTAGAAAATGGTTCAAACGATCTAGCTTTTTGCTTTATACGTCGATGTCCTGTAGGATTCGATACATCCATCAAACTTAAATTGTTAGTATTTTCAGCTCGTGATGAACTCCCTTTGATGATTTTAAAATGATCAACTGAGGCATGACAACCACAATTACAATATTTAATACGTTTTTTGAAGCGAGGAGTAATAATAGTCAAAGGAATATCATACCTCCCCTCAGTCCTATGGTTTTTATTTAACTTCACTCCATTCTCCAAATGATAAAATTGATGCCATGGTGAAGAATGCGATATATCTTTGCCATTGTTACAAGTTCTCAAACCCAATGAGTGTTTTCTTGATAATACTGTTTGATTTGTATCGATGCATCCTAAATCTGAGTAAGAAGAAGATGATGACAAGGATGATGATGCAGAATAGGTTGACGGTGAAGGCGTTGTTGATGCACCTGAACGCGTTAGTGTTGATACAGATGCTGGAGGAGTATTTTGAGACATACTTAAAGTTTTACCCATAGTTGATGACTGTAAGTGAGAATCAAGTGAACCACATTGAGCACCATCCTGATGCTGATGAGTAGAGTTGTACAAGTGGTTCGGTAACTAAAAAAAAATAGAACAGTGGGTTTTCAAGTAAAAGGTGCTCAAGCAATTAATAACAGAAGTTTACAAGATTGTCAAATTAATCTCTTATTATTTCAACATTATTACGAGAAAAATGCAGCCATACCAAATAAGCAATATTTATTTCCAGATACGAATTGAAGACAGGCAACAAATGTTCACAAGCCAGGATTAAAAGAATTCATTAAAATATTTTGAACAGAACTCCTCAGCTGAATATTTTACATAGTATTCTATTTACCATGAGGAATAGATAAGATATGTGACTAATAAATAAACCACAATGAAACAATGCTAGCATAACAAATGGTGAGGGGGGTATGAAGAGTATGAAGTTACGATTAAAGTCGATTACAGTTCAGTTACTTTACTACTAAAAACAAATAGTTATCAGATACAGAAATTGGAAGTGTTCGGGACTGCAAAAAGAATAACAGTGAGATACTTTGTCTTCAGTTCTTTTTAACTCCTCGAGCAAATGCTCCATCATGTGAGTAGATAAAGTTACATTTCATTTCACACGTTTTTTAAGGTGCTAAGGTTTAATTAAGTCACGTTCGAGTTCAAATTACGTGGAAGTATGTAATATATTTACATTTATGTCTAGTAAGTTGTGTGATTTTTAGGTTATTAGAAGCTGAAGAAAAGCTGTGAAATAAAATGAGATCGCTTTTATTCTTAAAATATTTTCGTTTTTGAAATGTTCAAACTAACCAAGGGGACTAAGTGTATGCAAAAAACAGCTGTTAAAATTTATCAACTTTACCAGTATTGACTATAACATTTGTTCTTTTCTATTGTTTGTGAACGGGACTGAATTTATCAGTTTTTGATTGCATGGAGGATTTCATCATGAGCTGACTTCAGTTGGAGAACCACAGGAAGACCTGGGAGTACTGAACAGATGTTTCGTCCTAGTTTGGAAATCTTCAGCAGTACTCACCAACCGGGGGTTCAAACCCACGACTTTCTGGTTACAAGGCGAGTTCGTAGACCACTGAGCCGCCGGGACCCGATTCAATGGTGTTTATCAGTTTTTGTTTGCATTTGTGTTCACTATACGAAAACATATATACAGTCTGTGGTGACTTCAAAAATATATTTTTTTACTAGCTACAAATGCACTTCACAGAATGGAACTTGTCAGTTAGATGTTCATGCATGCAGACGCGTGTTGGTGTGCCTACATACATTGAAATTCAGTGCCTATGGTCCTGAGAGCCGAAGCTGTATCAGTCGGGCTACTGAAGCATTCCAGTCACACACTATTGTTTGGGAATTAGTTCGTTAGTAGTTGTTATCACTTCATACAATATTTCTCAATATGACTTTATGCATCTGCCTCAATATGAATAGCAAATATGTATCAACAGGATATGTTTCCTCCTTACTGTCTTTACATAGAGAAACTGATAGGACGCCTTTTAGCTACATGACTAGAATGCCTTGTCTAGGTCAATAATCATGACAAGTGTCGGACGTTAGTATGCTTATGTTGTAAAACTCACTGAACGGTAATATGCCCGTTGATAGTGACAGGTTGTCAGAAAAAAAACAAATTACATGTCAAATGTTTATGTTGATTTGGTGAACAAGGTCACTCTGGATATTTCCGCTCACGCCTTGAGTCCTTCAGCTAGGTATATATATATACTTTTTTCCTTAGGTAAGCTTGCATACGCTTATACTTATAGGGATGTTGATAAATATAATTTCCATTTAACGTCACTGTGTGTTCTGGCTTAAGTAGAGCAGGGTGGAGGAAACAGGTATCTGACCTATAATGTAGCTGGCGTAGTCAAGCAGTACTCATGGTCACAAAATCTAAGTGAAGACTCGGTGTCCGTACAATTTCAGTGCTGTTGGGAAAAATCAAGTCGCGACATTCATGACAGATAAAAACTCATCCTAACTTAAAACCTTCATGACTTGAGCTAAATTTAGTGTCAAATGAATACAGATCATATAACATTAAACATTATTTTAGCCAAGGAAATGTTTATGCGATTATTATAAAAGGATTCATGGAACTACATTTTAGAAATCATAACAGTCAACAATTTGACCAGTTTGAAAAAATGTCTCATTATCATATTCTAATTTGTCTACTGAATCATTAAGTCAATAACTTATAACATTTCTGAATGGTTTCTGATGACAAGTTATTAAGTTCTAAGACATCAACAGACACTGTATTCAGGTGTGTGGCTTGCAACTAATGAGTTCCTGTAAGTTCAGAGGGCTTTCCAACCATCTGTACTAAAAGACCAAATCCCATTTTTCTTCCTTCATGATCGTTTTAAAAACCAAAGTCTTTTTAATAGGCCTAAATCTTTCATGAATTTAACCAAGCCCTAATGCCTTCTACATTTCTGTACAGGTTACTATCATTTCAGGTTACTATGATAACACACAATCAATTTAATTTTAAATTGATTTATATCGTGAGTGTGATTTTACCCAGTTGAGATTAACCTATTCATAATAAACAATCAGTATATAGATTCACTGGCTTTTAGCTACGTTTGAATGCTAGTTAACAACTTCTTAAACTCCATTTTCGCAATATGACAAATATATTAATAGAAAGTTAGTCTTTAATGAATGTGAGAAATAATTCTTCAACTGGTTATCATAAACGAAAAAAAACCATTGGGTGAAACATCACGGTTATTTTGATATAGTGAATAAAGATGTTGAGAAAACTGAGTGAACTCATTTTATCATTACTGAATTGTAATAACTGCCATTTCTAGGTTGATAAAGAGAAGTCTATGCATGAAATAGTGAAAAGTGAACACGTATTTACAAACGTCCAGAATTCTTGAATTAACTTACACCATTCTTCTTGTTTTTTTCATAAGAAATTGCTTCAAGATTTTCATATTCTCCAATAACACGTCGTCCTTGTATACCTTGTTGATTTGATGAAGACAACTGGTTACCTTCAACTCTGAATCGCGGTTTATTTAAGTAATCTTTGATTGAGAATGAACTAACTTTCTGTACCATGCATATATCTGGAGGTTGATTGTAAACATTTGAATCATCCCCATCATTACGAGTAACATTCTCATGTGAATAAACTTCTCTGTTTGAATTCTTATCCCTATGATCTTCATTAATATTTTTCTCTTTTGTTGATTTCTTCCCTTGATCTGATGATTTATTAGACGACTGACTTGTAGTAGACTCAATACCAGGTTGACTGTCAGGGTTTGTTAAATCAACTGATAAACCCATAGTTGTCTCTTCACTTCCCATACTATCATTTGGAATGATTAGATTACCTGTGGAATAGTTACCACCACTACTGGTACGCATTTCAAAACTCGAAAGCACACGGAATGTTGCATTCGAGTCAATATCAGTTGAACTAGCCAAGCTGAGCTGTTTGAACGAATAAACAACAATAAGAGAAAAAGGCGTAAAATATAGGTTTCACTTTTGGAGAAAAGTTTTACATTACTTAAGAAAACAGACAAAATCTTCCTTTTCTATGTTATTCGACAAAGTGTTTCTACACTTTTATTATCGTCATCAAGCTGTGCTTATCGTTTTTGTCCTAACAACAGTTACTGCTTATCATATTACACTTCATTCTGTTGTTTAAAAAGTATCTGCTCCCTTTTACTTTTAAAAACTGCCTAGAAGGAGAACACACACAAATCATCTTTCTGTATTTTTTTTTTATTATAGCTTGATTCCACACTGTATTCTTAGTATAAGTATGGAATTTTCAGCCTACGTTATCGGTAGCCCAAATTTTGCAGGCCGACCATAGATATCAGGTGTGTGTCGGCAGGGGATCGAACCTCGGACCATGTGCATGGTCGGCGAGAGTCCTAACCACTGTGCCACCGACGCACTGTAGTCTATCAGTGCAGTGATGTATTCATATCATTGTAGTGAAATTATAATAAACACTTAAGCTGTCATCCCATTTATATAAGTACAGAAATAGAAATTTTTGTTGCACTTTTATCTATGATTAGTTAAATAATAATTAATTAATAGCTGTATGTAGGTATTTGGTCAGTAGTTATTGAAAAGAAATGTTCATTTAAGGAGTTTACAGTAGTGATAGTAGTAATGATATTAATAATATCGATAATACTGAAGAGTAGAACTTGATGACAGAGTTATCAAAATGAATATTACTTGTTCACTGACTAGTCTTGTAAGATTAGAGTTCTCAACTTATAGACTGTGTAAAAAGCCGTTGGTAGTTACAAGACTGGATAAGCTGAAGTATGTTTAAAACACTTAGTTCCCTTTATGAATTTAGATAAAGTAATATGAAGACGTAATTTGTCTGAATCATGTAATGTATTTGCGCAACACATTTCAAACAATCTGATCACACACGGAATTGTCATAGAAATATATATGAAATTAATAAAGAGGTAAGAGGTGAGAAAAATAGACTTAGGTCAAGTTAAAAGGACATATTCAAGGAGCTCAGAGAACACTATCAATTCCAAATCATCCACCTGAGTTACAAATCTTTTCTATTATTACGCATACCTGCCTCTACAACTAGTGAAAGAAGGTATTTAGGTCAAAGAACGTGTAGTGTGAGAGTAGAAAGCTTCTTCTTTTATTCCTTACGCAGCTAGTGAAACATAGGGCTATGAACTTTCAAACTTTCAGTAGCGGTAGTGTGGTTTTTGCGGGATTAGGTTTCCTTACCTAATTTCTAACTGCTACTCTTTTCCGGACTTACTATCTGTCTGTGAATTAGGCGGTGTTTAGGAGTGGGCCAGCCAATAGTCGAACTAAGAACAAGTGCTTGGTTGACAAGCACTAAACCCTTAAAGCTGGCTGCACCCATTGCGTTGCATATATAATTACGAATCGGGTTCAGCTTTGTTTAACTACAGTGATCTGGAGAGATCCTGTGTTTCCAACGGAGAAGCAGGATGAGAATTTGGTGTATTTCAAAATGAACTACTCTGAGTAAAATTAACTAAGACATTTCCTCAGGGAGACTCTTAGGCAAAGTTAAAATTTAGGCACCAGCGAAATGCGTTTGCTCTATTGGCCTAAAATCTGTCAGCGAAACTCATCACCTGAGTTCAAAGTTTCATTCCGTCTATTTCGAGGCAAATGCCTGCTGTAACAGAGTTCGTCTGAAATCTGGTGTAGACGAATTGTTCCAGTATTGTTTAGATGTAGAATTGATTGAAAAGGAAAAAAATTGTTCCTGTGGAGGTATTTTGAGTATAAAAAGCTTTAGCAGATATGATGATGGGCACGTTCATTGCTGTAAAGTTTGTTTGTGACGAGTTAATGTAATGGAAGGTAAGCTGATGATTATATCATTTCGTAGGAACACAGTTTTAAAGATAAAATTTGTCATTAACCCAGATTTTATATATTTGTAACTACTGGGTCTTCAAGAACTCTGTGATAGCTACAGCTGCTGAAACGGAGAATAGTCTCGTCTCAACCTTGCAGTGTAACTAGCAATGCAGAAGGATTGGTGAAACCAGGATCTGTAATACAGACAGATAGAAAGGATATGACTGGTTGTCATCTCGTGGATGTATTCACCATAAAGTCTATCAATGTAACGATTTTGTGGATGGTAATATGGGCACCCATACAAATTCTATTGGGGGATTTTGAGGAAGACTGGAGAATGATATTAGAGCCGAAGGTATGTTATCTACAGTCATTTAGGTGAATACATGTAAAGAATGTGGTTTACCGTCTCTATTGATATTCCTATGGAAAACTGAGAGGCCTTTTATTGTCACACTTCAGAGAAAGGTATCCTGTGTACCATTTTTATGCTTTTTTTTATACATTATTTTCGTAAGTATATCTACTTCATTGGTAAAATAGACTTTTTCATGTAAATGGTGAATGCAAGATTGTTTGGCCGTTGGCACTAGGTGGTAATTCAAGTTTCACTTGAGCCGATTATTACACAAACATCAATTAGCACCACCACTTTGATATTTTCTTCTTCAAAAATATATTACCTCAACGATTAACATAATTTGGATAATTCAAACACAGTAAAAATTGCTATAGAAGTATTAATAATGGTGACGGCTTTTGAGGATTAATTATTCACCCGACGAAACATATTTTTGGTTTACACAATGAATAATCTTACCGGCCTGTCGTTTGTAGTTCGTCTATCATTTCTAAAGGCTGCTGCATTGACGTAATCAGGGGAATCAATCGACTGAATTTCGACATTTCGATTACGTCGAATTTTGAATTTTACACCCGTTTGGTTGTTGTTCAAAGCATCAGATGGATTACGCATTGAATTAGAAGATATATGGTTATTTTTTCGATGGTTTTTCGATCTTTCTTTGCACTCATCCGACGCTTTATTCCATGTTGTATTTCTAATTATAAATTAGATCAAATAGGATTAAATAAATGTTTGAATATTTTGAAGGAAAAACTGTCAGTACTCGGTTAAATAATAAAGTTTTCCGACGCTGAGCTTATAGTCTCTGTGTAAAAATGTATTTAAAAGCTTTCTAAAACCACTGATTCAACCACTAATTCAATCTAGCAGTCAAAATGATCTTCACTGTTGTAATTTAAGGATGATTAGAAATTGTAAAACTTTTCATGATCAGTTATTTGGAGTATGCGGTTATTATTTACGAAGACAAGGAATTTATTGACAATTCATTCATTACCATATAATATGAGCAATAAATTACGCTCAAAAGGTCATCCAGTTATTGATAATATACCGCTGTATGTTATTTCAAACAAACTTAGTATCTAAAACCTTAACTTCTTTGAAAAAGACAATGTTAAGACATGATTGTGAATATACGGTTTATTTCTATCTATAGACGAGTGGATGCAAATGTAGGATTTTATTCCAACAAGAGCGTGTGAATAGAATATCATACATTAAACGTACTATTACTCAATCGATCGCCTAATGTTCTCAGTGAGTAAGTGCAGAGTAACTTATTGAAATATTAGAAATACTTACAACATGAAATCATAAAGATGAATTTTACGTGAGACGAGATCAGTAAATAATGCAATAATTTGCAATGATCAACGATAACGTTGAATAAACTTTATCACCTGTTTGTTATCTCTTATCATAATTCTTAAACATTGAATGTTTACTTGAAATGAGACACTTTTTAATAAAAAAACAAACCTAGATTTTTCTTGACTTGAAGAATTCATCTGTTCACCATGACCTTCGATATCTTCTGCTGCAGTCGATGAAGATAAAATCTGCAACTCTTGACTTGCACTCAGATTAGGCGTACTTACACTGTTTGTGTGTAAAGATTGCTGATGCAGTAAAACTTGACGATATTCAGCCAGTAAACGATGAGCGAGTTCAGTTTCCTAAAATAAAGTGACATATAAAAACTGCGTATCGAAAAACGTGCTTAAGAATATATATATATATAAACAATATTAAACACGACTTAGTTGCAAAATATAGTGTTGTATGCGTTGGTTGTGCGCATCAGTGGTTCAGATTCAGAGGTAGAAGGCTCGCTAGCCACGCACGTGGTCTGGGTTCGATTCCCAGCCGACACAATCCTAAGCCCCACATGATTTACTTACCAGTAGTAACTTTAGAAGAGATGCAAGGTAAGGTTAGGCTAGCAATCCCAAGTGGGAAAAGCACTACCGATACTTAAACTTGGAAGCTTAGTGCTTGAAGCCCTACGTTCCAATCGGGACGCGAAGGAATGAAAACATGCATTGGTTTATCTCTATAGAATAAATATTGTCATGCACCTAGTCTTTAGTGTTGGTTTTTATTGAATTCTATCAGTAACCGAATGCTCCCTATCTGTCTGCTTTCGACATAGAACTTTGCACATATGTCCGGCAGTTCAAGTCGCCACACTCCATCTAACACACAAAGCAAGAGAAGAAAGTAGAAGAAATGCATAATAGAGACAGTAAACAGAGGTGTGAGACAAGGAAATAGTAATAACGAAGTACAATACAGTTTCATTGGAAATCATAAGTCACAAGTAGTGGATGCATCTCCGCCAGCCATTGAGAACGATTTTGAGCCAAATCACTAATTGTCTCCAGACGTTGGTTCTTACTGTCCCGAGGACGCCAACCACGAAGTTTACACCTTCCTACGTGGCTGGCTTAAACTGACTGTTGTGGATTTCACTGACTGGTGCCATGTTTTGGTTTGACCGCCGCTAGATCTTTTCCAGCCTGACTCTATATCAGCTAACATTGCCTGTCGAGGAGGGCGATGGCTAGGCATGCATAACACATGTCCTAACCATCTCAGTCGATGTGGCTTCACAGCATTGTCTATTGATTTCCCCTCCTTACCTAGCACTCGACAGTTGCCTCACCTTATTATACCACTTCACATGGGAGATAGAGCGCAGGCACATTTGGTCGAAGACAACTAATCTTTGCATGTCTTCCACTCTCAGTGGCCAGGGCTGAACAAAGATAAGCTGGTTCAAATGTTCAGAGGAGCATCAGTTCTTTCAGTGTTGTAGACACATCCTGCTGATGGATGACAATAAGTATAAGATTTAAGTCAAAAGCTTCTTGTCCACTGCCCTTGCTCACTGTATAAATTGCTTAGAATTGAAAACTGCGTATAACAGTAATATCTTTCATAGACAATATATATATATATATATATATATATATATATATGAGTATCTTTTAACTGTTTTGCATATAAAATCATACGAGAGATGTAAACATGAAATAAAAAACGGATGTACACCTTAGTCCCACGAATATTGGACATTATTATACATGTTCATTTTATTGCTGCCTCGTACTATATGCTTTTGATGTCAGAGTTTTGTTTAATTGACTAATACAGTTAAATTCACTAATCTTCAACTCGCATATTCAACAAAACTACTCCGGCTCTTGGGTTTTTTTAATAAAACAGTTTCTTATCTAAGTGACTATGTTGACGAAAACACGAAGAATATCATACACAACAATAAGCATTTCCGACTTTTGAACAGGCTGTATTTCTTGATCTAACTACTCCTAACTTTTTTTTCAAGTTAAAATTTTAATATTAACAACGCTGAGAATATTTGCTAACCAGAAATTCCATTTTCTTAATAATTATAGTTGAGAATATTGTTTTCTGTGATGTGTTATCAATTCATATTTCCGAGTACAACAAAAGTTTACAATAAAGTCGTTTACAAAATGTTTCCCGTTTGTGAAACAGTTGAAAAATATTTTAAAAAGGACATTATTATACATAATTTTGCACAGTAGTTTCTTTGATCTACTTACTCTTAAATTAGTTAAACTCAACAGCTGATGAATATCAGAGTTTGTGAGTAGATGCATTGTACCGGAAGATGGACGCGGTATACTACACTGATCTGATGAACTAGATGTGGTTAACAATGTGTTACTTAATTGTTTACTTTCAAGTTCTTGACTATTTTCCATAGTTTCAGGTGAATAGTTCTCAGCATTAACTATAGATTTACTTTTTGATTGATGATTAGATAAAGACCACATATTATTATTAAGTGAGTCATTGAATGTCTTGTTATCATTCGTCGGATTAATTACAGTCCCGTTTGAATTTACATTTGTCTGTTGCGTACCATCACATTCATCTTGTTCAGGTAGAGGATTAGATATTTCTTGAGGGATTTTATGCTCATATGGTTGTTCAAAATCATCCCCCCATACGAAGTTAGGCCGACTTACTGGGGTAGTTGGTGTGGTAGAAAAATGCCTTTGATTTATATTTCCACCGATTGAATGCTTCATATTCTGGAGCTTTTCATCTGGCTTGCATAGAACTTCTTCAGTAATGGTTGTATAAGATAAATTGGCATTGATATTAGTATGATGATCAAAGTTCGACTTCTGATAGCCTGGTTCACCATATACAAGTCGATTAGAATGGCATTCCGTAAGTGAAAGACAGTAATTTTCCGATGGAGAATTAACAAATTTTCTAGGTGGAGTAACAGCTAGGCGATTAACCTCATTTATTGTCAATGGACAAGGAAACAGTCGCCATGAGGAAGATGAAGAAGTACGGAAATTTCCTTGTTCATGTTGACTTAACTGATTCAATGGCCTTGGGGAGATTTTAAGCTGTGGATTTTTTAAAATATCATCTTTAGTTTCAGAAATCATATTGATATTATCCATGTCAGATTTATTATAAACAGGATTAGTATTAAAATGTTTTTTATCACCTTCATTATCTTGTGAATTAACATTGAACTTAGAGCATGATGCTGATGGCAAATTTATATTGTGTGAATCGCTCTTTTCAATATTTACTTGTTTATTGCCATTAATTTTCATTTGTGGTCGTGTAGGACTAGGTGGTAATAAGTGAATAGTTGGCGTTAGAATTTTCGTTTCATTCGCCTGTGTATTGCTTGTATTAATTGTGAAAGATTTCAGTTTTTGTGAGTTGACATCATCTAATTTAGAATTTTCTAAATTGGCTGTCACATCACCTTTAGAATTGTTTAACTGTAAACCAAGTGAACGAGAGTATGATTCACTAGAAGATCTTTCAAGACGTCCAGTTTGTGACTTAAATTGATTGCCTAAATTATGATGAGGGGTTGGTGATACTGAATTCGATGTTACGCCAAATCTTCGTTCATTTTCAGATTTTGTTGCTTGTGTTTTACAACACTAAATAAAACCAAAACAAAAGAAAAACGTTATATGTGAAACTATACAAGGGAAAAATGAGTAAAACACTTGACTACAAATGTCAGTTAGAAGTACGAAAATATAAGTAAACAATGGACTACGCCTTAAGAACTGCCTGTTTGCCTTTTTTTTAAAAATTCACTTCAACCCTGCTGGTGAGCGCAATTAGCTTTGGAGAACTATTTCCAGCTACTGCTTACCAATGTATTTTTGTAAGATTGTAAATACGAACACTGAATTCTAGTACTGTTTCTCAGTCGTGTAAATGAAAGTAAAGTTTGTTTGCGTAAACAACTTTTCAGAAGGTGATTGACAAGACTGCCATAAACGACAGAGTACGACCAAGGGTGGGTAGATTTCGGTCTTCCTCTCAGAATGCTGTCTTATGACCACTTGTTCATGCCCTCTGCCACTGAAGTCCTGTTCACTGCTTTCACGCAGCGGTGTTCCGCATAAATGTGAAAAGGGCGAATGTGGCTCTCGCAAGGGAGCTGATAGAAGTACAGGTCCACCTAAGGGAACTAAAAAACCCTGATTTCAAACCTAAGGGTTCCAGAATCCGTACAAATTGAATAGCGTATTGACCTGTTTTGGTCACCTGCAAACATGGGAACGCAGCTCCTGACGCTACTCCACTATATTGTACATCTGATTTCTTATAAAAGACCAGGCGTATGGAGTCTTTGGACAGTCACCTGTTTTAGTTGAAGCATCCAGGAAGTAGCCCAGCACTCGACATAGATTATATGATTTTGTAAGGTGCATCCTCTTGGTAGCCATAATGCACTGAGCTTGTGTTTTAATAAAAATAGCACTTGAAGCGCTACTGTTTTGAAACAGAAGGTATTCAAACATTCAAAAGTTAAACTGGGAAATTATGACTGGACAAATAAACTTCACCTTATATATATATTCTGGCTCTACGATTGCCCATATGCTTTCACCCTAGGATGCTCAACCCGTCGTTTCCCACTCGGGCTCCTCTCTAGAGCCTGGTACATGATATCACTTAACAGTCGCCTAGGCATATGTTCAGTTCATCTACATTTCCTTCTGCACAACTGTATAGCAATATGTTCTTGGTTGGTTCGTTTTCGGAAAGAATCCTTTGCTGCTTATGCTTTTTCAAGTGTTGGTTTTGCAAGGATTTTGTATGATTGCATGCAGGATTTCATTATGAGCTGACATGATGCTCACCAGCGACTGACCCTATTCAGGCAGTGATCTGCGGTTCTAGTGGGAAGCCGTGACCAGTAGGGTACAGCAGGTTGAAGATGAGGCAGTAACTCATCGAAGAAGACATTGCGAAATGGTCACGCTATGTCGTGAATTGGCAGAAGTTAGAATACAAGGACCATTGGATAGGGTCCCAGTGGCTCACTGGTCTACCAGCCCGTCTTGAAACCAGAAGGTCTTTGATTCGAACCCCGGTGGGTGCGTAGTGATGAAGAGTCCCGAAGTAAGATGAAACAGCTGTTCAGTACTCCCAGAATTTCCAGTGTATATCTAACTGATGTCAGCTCATGATGAAATCCTCCATGCTTATATTTTTGCCCATCTGACCTCTAGATAAGTAAATACAGTTATTAACGTAAACTGTTTACCACTTGAAACAAACACAGAGTAAAACTTAAATTTAATAAATAGCTTACATTTTCAGAAGTTTGATAAGAAAGTGGAGCAGATATATGCATTGTTGTTCCTCGATTAGTGTTATTATTTGTCCAACCGAATGGTATACGCGTTTTTGCAGATGAAAACCAACGTTGAAATTCATGAAGTGGATTATTTGATGAACATAAATGTGTAACTGATTTATGAATATGTGATGTAGAATCATTTGTAGTTTCTTTAGAGTTATAACTAGTTTGTAAATGTTTAGAAGATAAACTCTCGGATTCAATTTTGTGAGCATTAGACTCAGCCATCATTGCGGATTGATGTCGCCTAAAGAAAATACAAAAAATAAAATAATTAATTTTTAGAAATATTTCTGTATTGAAGAATAATAATCAGCTTTAATGATAATAATAGTAAAAAGACATAACAGATATGTTCGGCTAAAACTTCTCATTGAAGGCTAACTAGTATTTAATTGTTTTTTTTTCATGTAAATAGGGAAACATTTGTTGTCTGCAAATCAAGTGCTATTCCTAGACGTCTTGATCATCAGTCGTTGATTAATTTGATCAGCAGGCCAATACTAAAAAATTCTTGTGATAATAATAATTTAAGTTCACTCATTAGTTTATATATACATTTATATGTATATATAAAGTGAGAGACGGCTGCTTCCTTCCTCAAATATTTGGAAAATTAAAGTTTACTAAAAGAGGATAAACTTTGCCTGAATCGTTTTACCTACCACAAGACAGGGAGAGTTTAAAAATTCTTATTTCCTGAAACATAAGAACAAGCTTTAGGAAAATTCACTTAGAACGATAGTGTACTGAAGTAGCTGTTTAAACAACCCATTTTAACGGTCCCTGAACTTTTAACCAGATTGTAAGAATATGATTAATAGTGAGTTAAAAGAGTTGGAAATATGTTTCAAAGAATACTGAAGGGTTCAAATGTTATTAGACTACTTGTTTAACTATATATATACATGTATATAAGTTACAGTTCAAGGGGATAAAACTACTCATTACTGTCGAGAATAAAATATGTAGACCACCAGAGGCCAATAAAAGATACCAAGTTGAACGTTACATAACTTACTTCATTTGAGATTGAGGTCGGTAATGACGCTGACTTAAACCACTAATCAGTGGTAAAATTCCTCCATTGTTTGACTGAATAAGTTCGTGCCAAAGTTTACGACCCGATGCAAATGTGGAACAAGACCCTGAGTTAATCCCACGTGTATTGGACTTCGATGATCCTTTAAATGTCACGTTATGAGCAGATGTGCATAGGGAAGCTGCAAAACCAAATGATATTTTTCTAGCTTCATTTGTCTCAAAGTCGGCTTGAGTAATTGAATTACTTGAACTACTTGAAGTGGACGAGCTACAAGATCGATGTTGTGCAACGTGAACAAGATCAATTTTTTTAATACTTGCTGTACAACTTGAAGACGAAGAAGAGAATGAAGCTCTTGGAGAAACTAATACATGCTCGGACGAGCTATCTGAAGACGCTAAAGATGAAGGAGATGATTGTCCAGGACATACCTCTTTCTTATTTAAAGCAATATCTACCGCCGATAATTGTAGTGTAGTTAAATGCTCACTGCAATTTGCTTGCTCATGTCTATTAAAGTCACCTGTCATATCGGTCATTAGACTTCTTTCTGACTTGGCTTGTTCTGAGTGATGACGTTTTGTTTGTCGATGCTTATGCGATCGGTGACTTTTGCTAACTTTATTCTCTCGATTTGCTTCATTTGTTTTCTGTTGCTGACAACTCAATATAGACTTTTCTTCATCATTTTTAGGGTTTTCCTTCATTTTCAATTGTGTTGAAGACGATGGATCAGTATGATTATCTTTTAAATCATTTGATGTAGATGTTGTATTTACACCAGTATTCTTTGAATGGAACCAACCAGTCGGCTTCAAACATTCACGTCCAGGAAGGCATGTTACACAACCCTTGTTCAAAAGTTGAGAATCTAATGTACCCGCACCGCTTTTTAGACTCCAGTGACCAACAAGAGTTCCAGACTCACTATCTAAATGTTGCTCTTTAAATCCATTGGATAAATCTGTGTTTGCAGTTGTAAGTTTGTTTACAAAGTTAGTTTGAACACAATTTGAGTTCAGTGATATTGCACATGTAGCCTCACTAGGTCTTCTTGGAGGAGGATTAATCCTGAAGGTTCTACTATCACTATTAAGTGCTGTAGAATTCGAATCAATTCTGAACTGATTCAATAAATTGCATGGATTAACCATTGCAACTGAAGGCTGTTGATCTGAATTGTTTGTAGAATTTATTTGTGAGTCTCCATTCGATTTTCCAATAGAATATTTGCTGCAGTGTTGACCTAGAAAGTTTTAATAAGAAAATTCTAAATAAGATTCTGAATGTGATTGCTGAGTGGAAATTCCTTTCAGCATAACTTAACACTTTCTAAATGACAAGGAAATACAGCAACTGAGTTTAGGCATACAAATTCAACTAATTTTCTGTAAATCAAAATCTACTAAAATTAGGTGATGAAAATCAAGACGGCATAAGTTCTGAACACTTTCGAATAATAAAACACCAGATATTGGGCATAAAACATTGCCTATTAGAGAATATTAAAATGTAAACTATATATATATATATATATATATATATATATATATATATATATATATATATATATATGGGTTTATTTCAATTGCACAACGGTCGTTATGACAATCACTTTTCGAGAAATACAGCTTACTCTTTGTCTCAAATAATATGAGAGTTTTAAAAATTGTTGTATCCCAGATCTATATTTGAGCTAGGAGAAATTAGCAGTATGAATTCAATTTCCGAATTATTGAGGAACATACTAGTAGTTTATTTTAATATTAAATGTTTGGAATCCAGTTACACTATTATTTCCACAATAATATATGTATATATATAATTGCATGTTAAATTTATTAGAAGACTAAGTGAAAGTAATTTTCTCAGTATAGCTCAGAATAAACCGGAGAAAAGCACGAGAAAGATGGAACATAATCAATCACTTTGAGAGATATTCATCATTTGTCCTGAGAAAAAGGAATACTTCTTGCAAAAGAATTATTTGTCATTAAAATAAAATTCATTTAGTGTTCAATACAATTACGATCAGACTAATACAACGGTTGGTCTTGAATATTAATGTAACAGTGTAGTGAATAGTATGCTGACGTGTAAACACCGGCTTTGTATATACCGGCAGTTTAATTTTGCGTTAGATAAGTCTATGTGGCATAGTTTAGGAATACAGTATTTTCAACTTTCACTTCAACACCGGAACTTGTGCATCTCTACCAGTGACAGTGAACAATTTTAGTTACTGATATGTGTATATACAAAAGTTCAGTAACCTGAATTTTCTAATTATGTTCTATTGTACGCAAAAACCTGACAGTCTTAGGATTTATCAAGTTGATAGATTTTTACGTTTTTTGATATGGATGTCTGTATAGATTACCATATCGCTCCAGATTTCACTACGTTTCCTTGTTAAGAAGAGTCAACAATGTAAGCCGGTTAGTTATTAAGACAATGACTTAAGAAAATGGGTCTTATATTAAGACGTGTTTTACTAAAATGAACCAGCAGACAGCTGTCCTTCAAACTATTGATGAAATTCACTTTTAAGTTTATGATAACAAGAAATAAAAGAAAGTAGTATTCTAACATGTACTGCGTCAATCCAGGCTAAAAATTGATTGACAGAAGTGTTAAAACGAATACGTTGAATATAGATAGAGAGTAAACCAACAAATTTTATGAAGGTTTTTAAAATGTTATGCATAATAAGTGTTTGCATTACGGTAGGCATTTTTCAACCATGATGTTCCAAGTAGTAAAGCTTTTATTTTTCAACCCGATTTTAGCTCTCTTGAACTATATCATGTTTCGCTTTTGATTCTAATCATCACTTCTCATGGTCGAATGTACAATATCGCAAATAAATAACTTACGTGTATCAACTGTCTCACTTGATGCACGAAAACGACTCCTGTTTACACACCATCGACTAACCCTCAGTAATACTTCTTGACGAAACTACCAAGGTATCTTAGACTACCAACTCGGGGAAAATAACTCAGAAACCTGTATAACAATAAAATTGTAGTATACACAAATCTGTCTCTTTTAAATTAATATTTTACAAAAATTCAAAGATTATTTCAATAATAATTACAATTAATATAAAGTTAGAATTACTTGGTTGTTGAGATGTCGATAGTTCTGTAGCAAATGTATTTAACACCTGTAACCAAAATGGATAAATAAGAAAATAATTTTATCGCATACTTTTATAGTAAATCATAAATAAAGAATACTTAGAAAGGGGGACCGGGTCTTAAAAATAAATTATCACTTCTGGGTGACTGTTCATCACTGAACAAGATAGTATTAGTTAGTAAGTCAACCATGATTAGAACTATTGTTAACTTTCAAATAAGTTATTAGCCGAACGACAACCAGTGTGCTTACTCGTCTGTCAACTAATGTCAGATGTGACCAATAGGCCTGATATTACAAAATTGTAATGTGTGTGTTTCAGTATTAAGCAGTAAGAGTGACGGCGTAGAAAGCTGTTTCACTTAGGTATTTTGATTTTCTGCGCCAATTTGAAAGGTACACCAGCAACTTATGTTTCACATGAGATTCATAACTTCTTCAAAGTGTGACGCTGTAACACTAAGTTATCCTTCATTTGAATCAGTTTCCAACAGTGTTTCAGATCAAAAATAGAGTCATTCTCAGCAAATATGTATGTATCCCGTCAATAAAGTATGAAGAGAATCTATAAATAGCTAGTCAGTATGACAATTTCTTCGGAAAACAATCGTGATGATGAACTTCCGCACATTTGTGCAAAGTTCTGTGTCGAAAACAGACAGACAGAATAATAATTCCGAAAATAACCATATCCACGGTACATGGAACTGAGAATTGTTGTTAGATGATTTGAGGCAATCGACAGGAAGCCTTGGAACTAAGTTTCATGCTCATTAGCACTTATCAGGAAGGCATATCTGTTATATTGAAGGGATTTGTATCTCAATTAAAGTAACCATCACATGAGGTAAATCACCAGTCCGAATACCTCATTGGTAACACCTATGACTACAACGCTGTGTGACCCGGGTTCGAGTCTCGGTAGGTACGTGAGTCTCTTTAAGATTATAGATACGCCTTGACGGCGAGTACCAACAAGTACGAAACCCAGATCCAGGGCTACCTGCCAGTAGTCCCCAACATTGTGGCAAAAATTCGGAGTGCGCCGTAATGGCGGGCCACCTAACATGGCGGACACATTGCAAACTTAACTGATAGAATTTATTCAAACGAAGAACTAGACAAATGTCACTATTTAGTACATAGTCGCCAGTAAAAGAATGAAACTGAAAAAGGAAAACTTTGAAATTCTGAAAACTGTAACATAGAAATAATAGAAATACTGACAGGAGTAGGCAATAAAATAGTTCATTAAATAATTATAAGTTGCAAGACGATTAAACCTCAAAATTTTAGGAAATTATTCGATACAATATGCTCCTGATTTTTTACTCACGAAACTTATGAAGTTCAATTGGCCCAAGGGCCTTAGACATATAGTGTATGAGCTCATAATGCATAAATTACAAAATTGTACACAAACATGAAATGGATCCTTCCATATCATATGACAATGGAGAAGACTGCTCTTTTTAATGTACGCAACATCAGTGAAAATGAAGAAATGACAGTATAAGATTTATCTTCTTTTTAATGTAAATTTTACAAGTTACTTTCCCTCATTTTACAAACTACAAAGTTGATAATTGACAGTTTACCTACTGATCAGAAAGTGTAGCGACTAAGCACCATAAAAGAAACGAATCTTCTGATATCAACAGTGTGCTTTTATTGAAAATGGAAGCTAATAACTGCATAGTACGAAATGTCTACTATTAATAATTTTGAATATTTTTCAGTGATAAAAATGATCATTAGTAAGCTAAAGTACATCAACATTTCATTTTAACTTGTTATTCGCGCTTACCGGTGAACCAGAATTAGCACAACGCAGTTCTGTACCTCGTAATATATCTCTAAAGTATAAATAAAACAAAATATTTGATTGAAACGTAGACTAAAAGCATAAGTTGAAAAATTACTTGTTTTCCTTGAGGTCACGTGAACCTGACATTTTGATAGTCATTAGTGAACCTCCCAAATGCAAAATCACATTATTACACAAATAAAGTTGTCAGAAATATCATTGACAGCTCATATTGTATTTTAAAAACAATGCAACATTTCCCTCTCCCCTCTAGTGAGTTACAATATGGCTGAAACACCTATATTTTCATCATTTTCAATAAATTGATGAGGAAATATCAATTTGCGATTAAGAACAAAGCATGTGAGAGAACAACACTTTTTCCGAATAAATCTCCTCAGGCTTTATTCTAATATATGTGAATCTGCATACAAATATTAAATATGAGCTAATCATGGTTGCCTGTTAATTGTTAGATAAGTTATCTGTGAATTATGCATTCCATTAACCAGCACTAACTTTCAGGTAATCCCTACAAATTAACTCTTGAGAATTAATATGATGTTCGCTAGTGATTGACTATGGGACTGATTCTCCCCGAGTTCTAGTGAGAAGCAGTGACCAGTGTGGTCCAACAGGTTGGGCAAAGAGTATAAGCACTTGCCAACGACACTGGCTGGAATTGGCGCTGAAGTTGCGAATTGGTAGAAGTCTGAACTTATAAACCAGTGGATTGGGTTCCAGTGGTTGAATGTCCTGGGAGCTTGCTTTATAACTGGAAGGTCTCGAGTTCGAACCCCGGTGGGTGTGTACTGTGAAAAGTCCAAAAATAGGACGAAACGTGATTCCAGTACTCCCTGGTTCTCAATGGTTCTCTAACTGATATCAGTCCGTGATCAAACTTGAAATAATAATTTCAATAATAACAGTGAATAATCAGTAACAGTGGATAGTGGAAACGGCGTCGTTATACAAATAAACTTTTGAATAGCTAAAGTAGATATAACCATAGAGCATAAATGATAAAGTCACATGATACTTGATTGTATAGAATGTAGACAGAACATTGTTGAATCTAAAAGATGTAGTGAAACTATGAAAATAATGGCAGAACTAGTTAGAGGATAAAGTCAGATGACGGGGTTATCTGTTAAAATCTTTGATGTTCTCACTATTTGATACTCTTTTCATGTTAGCATATCGGCTCCGATGACGCCTTGATGGATAATTACTATTATTTGCACACCTTAACTCAAGGGCGTGGGAAATGTTCCGTTGACGCGTGCTAAATGACAAAAAATGTGTTTCATATATTCCAGTGGCAGCTACGACCATTAAAATATATAAGGGGGAGTAAAAGTACTTAGATATTCCCTAGTCAAAGGAAGAATAACGGTTATATGAACTTTTCTGAAAATGCAGTTTAAGATTGGTGGTTCAAATACTAGTGGATACTTGGTCTACCGAACTTATTCACATGCTTCTTTATCAAACCACACACGTATCATCTTTCAACTAAAGAATCATGGATAAATTCAAACTTCTTTTGTAAAATAATGTGAGAACAAATCTCAGTCGCTTTGTTTTTAAAACATTTAATCAGGTTCTTTTAATAACGAAAATAAGCAAGACTGATGTAGTGTGTGTACTGATCTGTGAATTTACCCTTTATGAATTTGAATAAAGCAAGAACAGAACAGCTAAATCAGGTTTCAGGAGTTTGAAAGAAGCAATAATCAGTCTTTTCTATTCCTGTTAACTGGATGTCTTCAGTCTCTCTATCTCTTTCATTTGATAACGTAATCTCTAGATTTAACCTCAACCCTCTTTTAAATATGGGGGTGACATACTAGTTTGTAGATTAACTGAGGTACTAGGCAAAGTCTGGGAATCAGAGACAGTACCATCAGACTGGGGTAAGTCACTCATTATACCGATATTCAAGAAGGGAAACAAGTCCTCGTGTGATAATCATAGGGGGATCAGCCTAACGAACATAGTCTCTAAAATCCTAGGCTCAGTAATCATGCATAGACTAAGCAGAACTCGGGAGGAACAGACAAGGGAAAATCAAGCAGGCTTTAGACCAGGTAGAGGGTGCATAGATCATATCTTCACTCTTCGACAGATTCTAGAACATAGACACACTTTTCGGCGTCCAACAATTGTCATATTTCTTGACTTGAAGGCGGCCTTCGACTCCGTGGACCGAAAAGTACTATGGCAATGTCTGACTGTGAAGGGAGTGCCAAGAAAGTACATTGCACTAATCAAGGCACTCTATTCAAACTCACGTAGTCGTGTAAGGGCTTATGGGGAATTGTCATCTGAATTAGTAACAACCAGTGGTGTCCGACAGGGATGTCCACTTTCCCCATTTCTGTTTAACTTCATCATAGATATGCTAATGGAAGTATCCTTAACTGAACGTAGTGACTTAGGAATCGACTTGTTACCAGGGAATAATCTTATGGACTTAGAATATGCAGATGACATAGTCCTGTTAGGGGAGGATGCTGACAAAATGCAGAGTCTTCTGAACACCTTGAGCAGCAATCTTCGTATGTTTGGCATGCGATTCGCCCCTGCAAAATGTAAGATGCTGCTACAGGACTGGACGACGTCAACCCCTAACTTAGTGATAGGGAGTGAAGTGATAGAACATGTTGACCACTTCACCTACTTGGGAAGTTGTATTAGCACCAACGGACTGATTGGCGATGAAATCTCAGCACGGATCCGAAAAGCTCGAGCTGCTTTCGCTGACTTACACCATCTCTGGCGTAGGCGTGACATCCGGTTATCAACCAAGGGACGTGTGTACTGCTCATCAGTTCGCTCCGTCCTTCTCTATGGCTCTGAAACATGGCCAATACGCGTTGAAGACATGAAAAGGTTGACTGCTTTCGATCATAGATGTCTGCGATCTCTGTCTCACGTTAGGTGGTTTAACAAGGTAAGTAATGTTGACGTTAGGCGTAGAGTGTTGGGCAAAGAGGGAAAATCAATCGACGAGGTTATAAAGTTACATAGACTAAGATGGCTAGGTCACGTGGTGCGCATGCCTAACCACCGCCTCCCCCGACGGGCATTGTTAGCTGATATAGGTTCAGGTTGGAAAAGAGCCAGTGGTGGCCAAACAAAAACATGGCATCAATCCATGAAATCCTTGACAGTTAAACTGAGTCAGGTAGGGAGATGCAGACTCCCGGGTTGGGGCCCTCGGGACTCTAGGAATCAATGGCTGGAGACAATAGGTGACATGGCTCAAAATCGTTGTCAATGGCGCAGATGTATTCAATCTCTGTAATCTTTCATATTCCTTTCTACCATTACCCATTCTGTTTCACTCTTATATTTGTCAAACTCTATTAATTCTCTTCACTCATCTTCTTGTCTACCTCTGTGTGCTATTTGGAACGTGGCAACTCGAACTGCTGCACTTCGGTGCCAAGTTCTATGTTGAATCCAGACAGACAGACAACCCTCTTTTGATATAGTGTAACTTAGCTTAGCTCTTGTTTTTATGATTTAAGTTGAACTCAGTACATTGTTACCTGATTCATTAATAATAATATTTTGCTTTATTCCAAAACAGTACTTGTGATACAGAATGAAATTTTCAGGATTTTACTACAGTATTGCATCCAGTTGGTACATTAACATAAAATAAAATTCTACATAGATTAAGGGTAATCTCAGTTAGTTTTGACAACAACATATTGGCATGTCGGTAGCAAAGCCAAAATTAAACAATGTTTGAAGGTGCTAGAAAAGTAGGTTCTCGCATATTTACTGGTGTAAGCAGAAGAAAGAAACAAAGGAGCACATAACAGAGAAAAAGAGAGAGAAAAAAGGAAAAGAAAGAAAAACGTTGTACCTGTAAATGATATGAGTTGGAAAGACGAGATCCGGTTGTTCTACTGATTATTTAACAAGTTATATGTATCACGCCTAATGCTTTCTTTATCGCACAGAACACAAGCTAAGTACGGTATGGTTGAGTTTTTGTACTTGCTAGTGCGAGCATATAGTTCTCTATATAGGCTTCTGGTTTTGCCTGAAGAGATACAAGGAGAGAGTTGTGAATGTAGAGGGTGTTGTGAGTTAGATAAAATGGATTTAGCCCATTTTTCACATGAGTCCATGTGCCTGTCCACCAGAATATTAACAAGCTGGTTAAGTGGCACGTTGCTTGCCCTGCTGACAATCCTCAACATCCTGCATAATAAGGTATAGTCTTTCTTCAGTATCCCTGGGAAAACTAAGGGGGAACAATAGAGAATAATGGGCAGAATGCGGGAGTTAACGAATTGTAGGAGTAAGGGTTGGGTTATTCCAGAATGTCTTAACTTCTTGATGTAGAAGGTAAGACGGTATATTTTCTTGGAAATCGTCAAGATATGAGGCGACCAGGAAAGATCAGCAAATAGAATGACACCTAGGTATTTAATTTCCGACTTGGTTTCAATTTCAGTGCCATCTATGTTGCACACCTCGTGAGTGTTAACCAGTTTGTTTAGGTCAGATTTGTGCCTAATGGTAAAATTAACTGTTTGGCATTTGGAGGGGTTTAAGGTGAGACCGTTTTCCTTGGACCATTGGCTGATTTCTGATAAGAAGCCATTTAGTTTGAAGCAGTCACTTTGACATTTGACAGGCAAAGATACATTCAGGTCGTCGGCATATTTGACAAAATTAATGTCATTTGAAGATGGTAGGTCATGTAGAAAGAAAGAAAAGAGAAGTGGGGAGAGTACAGCACCTTGGTGGACACCAGCTTCAGTGAGCACAGCAGAGGAGGATTTGCCTTTGTATACGGTATACTGCATTCTATTAGAGAAGTAAGAATGCAACCAGATGGTGATCTAGGACTCAGTTTGTGTCATAGTCACTCATCATCTTACTTATCTCTCGTCTTAATTACGTAACTCCTTCACCACTGCATGCATACAATTAATTCGTTTAAACTTGAACTGCTTGTGTAAAAACTTTATAAACATAATTTTCTGAGGTCTGTTCACTAATTCTGGAACCTCCTGTCAACTGACATCATGTAAGATTTGCATGTATATTAAAACAATTTAGTATTTAATTGGTGGATGGTGACTAGCAGTGGAATCCAGGATGCCCATTTCGTCCTATTTGGGACTCATCATCTGGATGTACCTGCATTTCTCAGTGAGTGATGACGTTCCCACCAGTCCAATCAATCGACGGGAAAATCAAAAAATCAATTCATTAAAACAATTCATTTAGGCTCTCATCAGATGATGAGAAGACAGCGAAGTAAGTGATGGTACCATATTCTGATCTTCGAATGTAATTTTGCTTATTTATTTGCAAATTGAAAAGGCGTAGAAAGTCGCGTTGGTGGAACAGCGTTAGAATGCTCGTCAACTACGCACGTGGTTAGGGGTTCGATACCCGGTCGACGAACTCCTTTACCTCGCTAGGCCATTAATTAGACTGGTAAAGAGGGGAGGTTAGGTATGAGGCTAGCGACTCCATCCAGTAAACATAAACACCGCTGTTCTCGGAACTTCAAAGTACTATCTTGAAGCCCTATGTTTTACTGAGAACGTAAAAGAAATAAGAAAATGTAGAAGGTCAGAATTGGAGAAGGATCTCTCAGTGAACCCCACCAATAATTCATTTATATCAACTATCGATACTGATAAATCTGTTATCATTGTAGTTGTAATACATAGCAAACTTGTTCATCACATCACTTAGTAGTTAAAATTAGTTCACCAGAAGAAATTTGCTACAGTCAACGTTAACGATAAGTCTATAGTATTTGCATCTCATTATTGGTAATGTGTATTAACAAAGCTAAAATGTACGTTAGCTGTGTATTTGAGAATTAATTCCTTGATATTCAGAAGCGAATTTGTAACTTTTAGAATAAACTATAAAGAGATTTAATTGAAGACAATATTTCTCGCTCTGAATTTTATTATGAAAAAAACGTTGAATCAATTTTGAACCATATAAGTTGCAACTGACTAATATGCACAATCAAATGAAAAATGGATGGTGCATTGAAAAGAATTCCATTCCAGCAGTACAGTTAAATGATATAATTCGCTCTACAGACAATATAAGTATAACTGTTTTTTTATGGAGACTGGTTATAAAACTCTGATACTGTGTTATTTCACCTTAAAGTGACGAGAATTATAGTTTACAGCCTTTGATGTGATTCCACGTAGATGAATTTACTTATCTAATTGTGGATAGAATCATTCATTCTAGCTTATTTGTTTTTACCGGTGTATATGAGTGAATATCCTCCAGGAGAATTTTAAATTTTGTACATTAGCATTTGAAATATTTTATCGTGATAACAAATGCAAAAAAAAGTTAATAAAAAGTAGAAACTCACGGTGGCTCAGAGATATGGACTGCTGGTTGTGGAGGGACTGACCTGCAATTAAAAGTTAGATAAGATATTAAATAATAAAGTATAAGATTATATAAGAGTTTTGAATACCTGCTAATTCAAAATGAAATGTACTTGTTGTTTGGTCTTTTATATTTTTTATTTTTTTTTTATTTTTTATTTTCAGCTTGATTCCACACTGTATTTTTGGTACAAGTATGGAATTTTCAGCATGGGTATCGGTAGCCCAAATTTTGCAGGCCGACCATAGATATCAGGTGTGTGTCAGCAGGGGATCGAACCTCGGACCATGTGCATGGTCGGCGAGAGTCCTAATCACTGTGCCACCGACGCACATTTGTAGACAGTCTATTTGAAATCACGCACACAGACTTTTTTGTCCATTAGCGTAAAACCAACAAGTGAAAATAAATCTACTATACATTAGTAACTAACCGAATAATGGATTCCCTGGAGTTGTTTTCTATTTTGAGATTATACGACTTGATAGTCAGTTAATGACGAAATGTTTAAAAAGAAGCGGAATAATTTCTCCCACTTAACTATCATGTCCATTACTTCGATTTTCGGGAAAATTTATATTAAAGTCAAAATTGGGAAGAGACAGACAATGAAAACTACAGATGACACTATGTAATACACGTTCCAGCCACCTTGATAGAAAACGATGAACAACTTCATTAACTGATCTAGCTTTACCATGTAACACTTTGTATGTGATTGTATTGTTACACACAGTTTCATTTTCCAATCAATTTCAAGGTAGCTGGACTGTTTCAACGTCTTACCCTAAAGAGGCTATATCTTCTCCATACACACATACAAGATCTTTTACTGTTAGTAATTCAATTCATGAGATGCCCAGACTGCATACATTTAAATAATACTGGTGACAGTAGACATATCTTGGGAGAAGAATAACACTACTTTTTACTGATATCGTAATCAATGACAGTTTCATTTAAACCTCTGCGCTCATTATTTGAAAATAGGTATTACACATGAGCAGATATGTTTAGATAGATTCATTTCCTCATACACGTGAAATCTTACATTCTATGAAACACATTCAGCTCTTTTCATAGGTTGAACAATAATTTCAAAACCAATGAATCCAAATATAATTTTTAAGGAAATGACTCACTTTACATGTGTCCAGTAATCAATATAACTACTGTGCATTTGAATACAAAACTGCCATAGGTAACGGGCGCTCTCATTGTCTTCCTACAAGAGAAAAACAAGTGAAAATCTAAAAATGATAAAGAATACATTATTTTATCCCTTATAAAGGTCAACACTTGAAAAGTGAATAAGTATACTTAGACACTAACAATGAAAAATGAAATTAACTCCAGATATATCTTAACATAATTCACTTTCAATTAAGAGCCGTGGCCATGGAAATTGACTCTTCAGTATCAAATTAATCATAAAGACTTATCAAAACCAAAGTGAGATTCAGTAACCAGACAGGATGATAAGATTTTTTCAGTTGACTGGATGTAGTTTTTCACTAAAGAAAGTAAATAGTGGCATGATATGGAAAGAATATACGCATATACAAGAGAACGCACAGTCTGAGAGTAAACTAATGAAAATAGTAACTTTACTGTTAGTACCTTTTATTCCATTGAATCTACGTATGCCGCTGGGATCTTGTAGAATTTTGTATTATTGCCTGCTGAAATTTCGAAAGGGTTCTATCTTATAAGTACAAATGTCAATCACTGGAAAAGTCATATGTTAAAGAAATTTGAAAAACTAGTCTCTGTCGAATATGTTTATTTACAAAACTCAAGTAATTAAAGCAGAGGTTTGTAGTGTTCAACAAGAAGTCTATCAGAAGTTGTTTGTACTTTTCAAGGGAAAAAAGAAACATATCACCAAGTAATGAGACACAAAATGGTATTCAACTCCAAACTGTCAAAGGTCAACTGGATATATTCTTCGTCATAGTTAAATACTTCAGAGTCTATCGTTGCAAAACATTCGACATGTGCTCCTTTTTTAAGGTAATAAACGCATCTATTTACTTCCAACTGTGCAGTCTGGGATGCCTGGTGACTATGTCAAGGTGTACAAATTTTTCTAACTCTTTGGGGGAAACATCAAGCTTGCTGATAGTTCAGAAAAACACTTACTACTGTTACAGCCTCTCCAATAGCAATAAAAATACTGTCCTCAAATACCTCCCTCAACAATATAAGCTATTTACATTAAGATGATAACTGTTTCTCATTTTACGTTTTGGTGAAACCAGTATTAACAATCCTTACATGCAGTAAAGCTTCCTAAATATTCTTATCATCACATAGCCAGCGAAAGGACTAGGCACGTCACACTAGTTACTAGTGTCCAATCAAAGTACCCACTATAGTCCTACAGGAGGTCAGTCACGATCCCGAATAGCTTAGTGGTAACGTCTGTAACTGCAGCACTGAGTGACGCGGCTTTGAATCTCAGGAGGGACATGAGTTACTTCAAGGTTGCAGATACGCCAACTAGCCTGAAACCTAGGTTCAAGGCTTCCTACCGATTGCCTCCAACTATCTAACATCATCAAATCAATTTGCACCGTGATGTCGAGCTACCTAGAATGGTGGCGACATTCCAAATCCGGCTGATAGAATTCAGTCTGTATCAAAGAAAGGACTAGACACGTCACACTAGTTACTATCGTCCAATCAACGTAACAACTGTCTGTGAAGACATATCAGCAGAGAATGATCGACTGGACTCTATAAATATAACGAGGAATTCCTAATACAGATTTTTAGAAAAATGCCAAACCTGATCATAACAGCATGATTATTTTAACTACACCACAAGGTTTCAGTATTATTTGTTCACTGATGACGTTTCGAATACAATGTTTGTCCATAGTCGTATCAGCGTACTCACATAACTTCCTGACTTTGTTTACGTAATCCCACTATTTCGTCTTTCTTGCTGTTAATATTTGCCGTCACGTAAAAGTACTGTTTTATGTAATTATGTTCTGTCACAATGGCTCACCTCTGTTAGTATATAATGCATAACAGTACTATATTATTAGCTGAATAATGATTTGACTATAATTTATTCATCATGATTATATTATATGGCCGCTGCAAGAACTGGTGTTTAATAATCCTTTTGTCCACGACAAGCAAAATACTAAGTCGCGTCATCCTGGAGAGAATAAAAGATGCACTGAATGCAGAACTCCGCGACCCACCGGAACAAGCTGGATTCAGAAAAGGCAAATCATGTGCTGATAAAATTGTAACCTTACACATCGTCATCACAGAACAAAGCATAGAATGGAAATCAAACCTCTACCTCAACTTCATCGACTTTGAAAAGGCCTTCACCAGTCAGCGTTGACCGAGAAGTAATTTGGAAACGACTTGAATACTATGGAATGCAGAGTAAGACAAGACTGCCTATTCTCACCAATCATATTCCTAATTATGGTAGGCTGGATTATATGTTAGTCTGTGCGTTCGGATTGAAACGACAGGAATACGTTGGACGACCGATACAAAGACTTTAGAAGATCTTGGTTTCGTGAGTGGATGATTTATCTTAAATGTCACACAGACTGGAAGACTTGCAGGCGTAAACCAATAAACTAGCTGAAGAGACTGGCGGGTAGCGAAGACGGAGGTGATGGAGATAACCAACCAACAGATACAACAACATTTAGCACCATTCATCATCAAAGATAGAGATTTGAAAGAGGTTACTTCCTTCAGTTGTGTAGAACTCATTGTTTCAAACACAGGCACATGGCATGGATGAAAGTTTCAAAGGCAGAATCAGAAAGGCAAGATACGCCTTCATCAATCTGGAATCGGTTTCGAAATCTTCTGCACTCAGCATAAGGAACAAGATTTGGATTTTCATCACGAATGTCAAATGAGTCAGTTCTTCTATATGGGTCAGAAACGTGCACTGCGTGTCACGAAGAGCATTTCTGACAGGCTACTGCAGACTTTTATCAACAGCTGCGTTCGCAGGCCCCTTACTAAAGCTCAAATGGCTAGGTGGCCAAGAAGAATTGGCGACAAGAAATTCTGGCTGGCAGGCGACAGACCAACCAAGAGCCTATAGTTCAACAAATATGTAGGGGAAAATGGAGGAGACCGTAGAATGGCATCGCTTGCCAGGCCTTCGAGAGGAACCTGAATGGTAAGTGACGAGTTGGTCGTCCGAGGATAACGTAGAGGAGATCGTGAGAGGAGGAGATGAAAGATTTCTGGTCCAGCTGAAGAGGAAAGCAGAAAATATAAGAAAGTGGAAATGTGTTGTTGAAGCCCTATGTTCCACTCGAAGCCCAAGGAAACAATAATAGTAATAATTATATTATATGGAATATTGTAAACACTATAATTTGTATACAATTGGTGGATGGTGGCTAGCAGTGGAATCCAGGATGCGCATTTCGTCCTATTTGGGACTCGTCAGCTGGATGTACCTGCATTTCTCAGTGAGTGATGATGTTCCCACCGAGGCTCGAACCCAGTGCCCATAGTTACAAACGCCAAAGCGTTATCCACTAGACCACTTGGGCCACGAGAGCCACCTCTTGTGCAACGGGTCATATATTAATTATTGAATTGAATTCTTGATTTTCCCGTCGATTGGATTCCACTGCTAGCCACCATCCACCAATTGTATACAAATCAAATCCCCAGACATCGTCGAAGCATCTGCACAAGAAGCCGACATGTCAACCTGAGACCGAACACTTCGGTCCAATCAATCGACGGGAAAATCAAGAATTCAATTCAATAATTACTATAATTTGTGTTTAAAAAGTCATGCAGAAAGTAAAGCCAAATGCAGAATCATGGAGAATTTAAGTAAGTTCATTCCATATTGGGGTCTGCACTGAAGATGATGTCTAGAGAGACAAGGAAAGTTTCTCAGTTATATCACCCAGCCCAGAGAATACGGAAGCACTGAAATCATTCAACTTAGCTAGAAATCTTTTCTATGGTTTCAGAGTCTAAAATTGCATAACATACATTAAAATGAACATCAAACATTCACACAGCTAAGTTATATGTGTAGTTTTATACTCACAAATATGAAGTGAACGGATTTGCCTTTTTTCAAAAGTTGAATAGTAAATGTTTTACGCGCATAAGTAAGATCCTTGATATGTTCCCATCTGAAAATTCAGAAGTATACACAATTAGTAAATTATCACTACAAGTGGATGACAAGAACAAGTAAACTAAATGCAGCATGAATAAAATTTATAGGTAGTTGACTGATTGACAGAGCATTGAAAGATGACATAATATGGCATCAATTACACACACCAACACTTCAAGATATTGGAACAGACCGCTCAAACTAAACTAGAAAATAGGAAATATAGCTTAAGACCAAAAGAGTTTGCTTTACTGAAACTGTTACGTAACCATAAGATGTAAGCCCTGGAAAATAAGTTCTCCAACGATTATTATTTTGATGTGGTTGTAACTCCATTATGGATAAGATTTTATTTTGTTGTACAGTAATATTAACTGATGATGTATGCATGCGCTGAAGATGTCGACTAGTAGGGCGATGAAAGCTTCGCAAATTAACCATCCAGCTCAGAGAACACAACCACATCAAAATCATCCACCTGAGCTACAAATCTTCTCTATCATATCTGAAGATTACTATCATTATCTTTACTGATTACAATAAATATAGCATTTTAAGAAGGGAAAATCGTAGATCTTTGTTTAACTATCAGTCTGAGTGTGACTGAACATTGTTCAAACGTTTTATCAATGCAAAGTAATACAAAATTTAATCAAGCACCACTAAAATTGATGATCCGAATCTCAAAACTATCAATAATTCTGGGATCCTAATTTCGGTACAAAGAAACAAACAGTAAGTAGTAAAGCATGCACTGCAAAGACTAAAAAAAATAAATAAATAAAATGAGTTTTCTCTTCATGAATTTATTTATTGTCCTAAATCACGTTAATCATTGATAGTACACTTGTAGAGTATCTTGTTGACTTGGTTGGTTAACTTTCAGCTGGTAGGTTTAATTTAAAACCCTAAATCATTTACTTTATCATTAATTTCCTCTTGCAGTGAAGAGTTATGATAGCCACCTTTCAAACCCTTTCATATGTTCAAGTAAGTTAACCATAAGTAATCGTATCTGAGTTATTTAAAATTAAGTGGTGAATGGTTTTCTATTGGTGTTTAATAACTAGGCTCCGTGCTGTATTCCGAAGTTTCCGGACCATGTAAGGCAAAGCAAGATATAAACTACGCATAGAAATAGAGAGCAAGCTGTTTCTGATGATATAAGTTGAGCTTTAATAAGGGAGTGCTGATCTAAATAAGCTAAAGATTGTAGACTATATTTATATCAGGTAGTGAAGTGAAATTAATAATCATTTCACAGCTTTTGACATATATATATATATATATAATTATCAGAACAGGTTTCTATATAAGCCGTCCCTGTTTTTAATGAGTGCTGACGAAATAACTAAACCCGACGTTCAAAAAAGTCATAGATACTATTCTCTCATTACTACAAAAAGCACTATGATATTCTGATTCGTAAAGGAATGTAAAAGTTCTACCTTCTTCGAAGCTATATAATAAGCAGCTGAATCTAGGACATCCAAATAAGAGGAAAAGTGTATCCTGGATTCCACTGCTAGTCACTACCCACCAAAAACACTAAGCGTATTTTTCTGTTTTGAAGCCAACTAGTACTATTTAGCCCTTGTTATTTGTTTATAAAAAAAGACATAATAGGAATCCCAAACGGTTACTGTAACTAATTTATATTCGCCTAAATTTTGGACATAATATATTCAACCAATTCATAGATAGTTTTAATGGTTGTAGGTCATATTTATGTCAGAGAGATAATATAGGTCAATAAAGAAAACACAATTTCATTTTTCTTATAAAATTTATTTAGGTGTGTAATAGTAGCACTGCAACCGGGAAAAATCATTTTCGTGTCTACAATTCAATCAATGTGCATATTTATATGTGCATACAAGACAGGAACAATTACAATTTGAACACAAAATGAACTGACCAATCTATGTGCTTTATACGTGTACAGAAATAGACGTACATGCTAACATTCAATCCTCTCGAATAAATTAAGAAAGGCAAAGCCCACATGCACACACATACACACTACGTAAACTAAACGAGGCAACTTTGTACATATAAGTTGTGAAGACAGATACAACCTAGTTTGGTATTGATTTTCGGTTAAAAGAGAAAATGGCACTTATTGATTATTTTTTTTACAGTGAATAAGAGAGAGATTACAAAAGTTGTTTAGTATTTTCCTGTCACAAATGATGGTCAGATTTTTGAAAGCCAGTAGGAGTTTTTTCTTGTAGGTAATTTTTTCAATGCTAATAGACTGTGATGCTTAATGCAGTTTTCATGTAGAGTGAAACGTTAAAGTATGGAAGATAATACCCTAGAGAAATATTCCCTGGACAACTTGCAGACAGTTTCATCAGTTGTTCTTGAAAAATTAAAAGGAAGTTGAAAACCGGCAATTATTATTGAATATATATATATTGAAAGCCAGCAGATATGAAACATTGGACTTAACAGTTTCCACATTAAAACTTGTTAAAGAAACTTATTTGGAAATTAAAGAAATCTGATAGCATTTAAAATCATTGGAATCTATTATTGTTGAAAGTGATAATGTAAACTTAGTTTAAAGGTTTATACATGCATGTGTATGCGTTTCCAGTAAATCTCAGATCTCTTGATATTCATGCAGAAGAGAGACTTAAGCTATAACTTACTTTAAATTAGCAATAGTTTGCCGTTGAGGTTCAAATGTTGTAATATTTATACCATTACGTGAAACACCAAGTTCAGCAACTTCATTTCGACATGTCTTAAGATTTAAAAGTTTATACAATTAGCATTATTATCTGGTTAACTTCATTGTGCTGTATTAGATCCAGTAATATCGCGTCATAAATACTTGAAAATTCAATATACAAGTTAACTCTTGACTCAATGATATAATCTTTGAATAGCTGAATATAGAATGAAAAGTTCTAACTTACTTCCCTTACTTTAACACGTAAACCAGGTGGTCTCGTCAGATGCAGTATAATGTTTAAATTGATTTGGTTAAATAACTATATATATATATATATATATATATATATATATATATACAGAGAGAGAGACTCTGTCCCAGTGGCTGAAATACAAAGGAGCTGGCCCCATAACAAAAATGTCCTGGATTCTATCCCAATGTACTCTACACTTCAGAACTAGGACGAAACGACCACCCACTAATCCCAAGTGTTTGATGGTTCTCTAAATGAAATCGGTTAGTGATTAGACATAAAATCAATCAAATCCCCGCACACCGAAACCTGAAGATTTCATTACTGTTGGAATGGTAATGCTTAAGTATTTCTAAGATAATTTAGATAAATGAACATAAACGTTTAGATGGTAATTTGATAGTTAAGGTTAAAGTGATGTACTGGTCACTAGAGTAGTATTATTTGAAGTCACTGATGGTGATAACCGTACTTCATAGTACGGTTACAAAGACACAAAACGAATGGGTTATCAGAATTGAAACATAAACAGCGCGATTTCAAGGCCTTATGAACGAAAATGATCTTTTTCATAGCACGCTATGTGAAGAAGATTTCTTAATAACAATAAATTCATCTGTTTAAAACAATTAGTTCCCTTTATGAATTTAGATAAAGCAAATTACGTCTTCTTATTGCTTTATCTAAATCCATCTGTGTTTATATTCACTTCATGGATATTTATTTCCGACAGAGTCAAACAAAGTCTGGGTTAAGAGTAATTATTTCGTAATCGTATTGTGCGGATTAAAACTGTGCTTGATTGTCCACTGGAAAAAGGGTTAACTAGGCTTGTTGAATGTCTGACAACACTACATTCAAAAATTGCCTTGATATTAGGTGCCTTAAAATATGATTGACTTACCATGCCTGTGAATGTTCGAACTCCGTAGAGAGGATTGTGACGAATTTCATCCAAAAAGTACCAAATCGCATTATCCTGAGAGACTCCTTGCAGGTGTGAATAGCCCCAAACTATGTCATCAACGTATTCGGTTGTCGATAAGTCAAAAGCACCGACAACAGGTGTCTAGGAGAAATCATACGCAGAAGTCATTATTATATTTTTAAACAGTTAAAAGAGTAAATCTCAAATCTTCTCAGATCCAAATAATTAGCCTTATCTGTTAATTTATACAGACAAAGGTATTATTGCAGAAAGTTATTCTGCAGGTCTAGTTGCCATTCTCAGTTGACTAAGTCATTTTAAGCCGCACAAAGATCATCTGTCAATATCATGTAGTAGCTGTGCTGGGAGAATAATATGCGGGACTGACTTATCAGACCTTCTCACAGGAGAACAGTGGCATCTCTTGGGCTTCATTCTCTCAGTTTATTATATATATATATATATATATATATATATATATAATATTAATGTGTGTTTTAGTGTCTTTTATAGTGGTCATATTAATATTTCACTTCTTGTAAATATTTATGAGGACGAATAGAATAATGAAATTATGCACGAATGTTTATAAAACCTCTGTATTGTAGCCCACTACTCATGGAAATTTTAATCTCGCTTTTCGGTTACAATTCTTCTGAGATAAATGACCTAGAGTAGGTAAATGTTGTGTAGGTTTCCTGCTTTGTAGCACCTTAGTAAATACAATTTCTTTGTAATTTTCAAATTATAATGCATAATATGATCTTCTAGTGAAACTCAGTACTTATAGTCTTCTAGAATTTATTTGCCTAAAGTTTTAAAAATCTCAGAATACTGCGTGAGAATATTTTTAATTTCATGATGTCAGAATGTTTCATGAGTAAAAACAGCTTCCTACAGTTTGAGGATATAACTGATGAAACTATTACAGACATTTTATAAATTCGCCCGTTTTGATCTCATATTGATGGTTGTTGTTAATCACAGTCTAGATATTTCTGCTACGTTACTGAAATTCATTCTCCATGAAGATCTAAAAACCCGTTTCCCTTTTATAATCTATATCCAGTGATTCTAAAAGCAGTTACTCGGCTTATGGTTTTGGGTATTCTGTCTAAATTCTGACCTAATTTTTGATAATATTTTCGACACTTGTCCAGTGATTAATTAAATAGCTCTAGGGTGTAACACTAAAGTTCATTATTTAGTCTGAATGGATCCATGAGAAGATCAAATCTTATTAATTAACATGTTGTTTTTTTAAAATATAAAATAAAAAGTGAATCATTGTTTAGGTTGTTGAATTCATTAAAACTATCAGTGCATTCATTTAAGGTGCTTTTTCCTAAATCTTACACGTCTTGCAGACAGGCATTAACTTGATAAATTATCTACTATGCCTCACAATTAATGAAACCACATGTATTACAAAGTGATCATCAAATATTATTAAGCATGTAGGTGTTCATGGTTTTAGAGGAACCCAACTGTTATATCGAACCACTCACCATCGGGAATGAATTTCATGCCTATCAGATGTTTATAAAATTGGAATGACATTCTACGAAAATTAATAGATACCTCAATTAGACAGAATTAAAAAAAAACATAAAAGTGTTCGACGTATCATTTTTACTAATTCCCAGTTTCTGTACATCTCATCATGGGTTTTAGGTGTATACTCCCAGAAGTATTGATTTCGGGTTCTAGTATATAAATCTAGATTCTTTCACTCAACAAAGCCAGCTGACGAATCATTAGAACCAGAGTTGTTTAATATAGAATTCTTTGATTTTTATAATCACGAATAATCAAAATAAGGTGACGTTTAGCAATATAGAGTACAAATAATACAATCTACAAGATAGGAAAGTCAAAGAAGATTTAATGTAACGTAAGAATGAATCCTTTCAGACTATTAAGTGTACTGACATTGCATATCTTCCAAAGGACGGTATATTAAGAAACCGATGATTTCAGAAAAATATGTGGGGTTATGTTAACTCCTATGACAAGAGAAGAGTTATTTTATGTAGATGAACTGATTTTTTCGCTATGATTGTTGACTTCTTTCAACCTTGGTTCATTTTCACTATTGCTTATCTCAAGGTATACATTACGCAACTTCGTGAATCCTATTCTAAAGTGTATTTTCAGGGTAATTAGCTGGGTGATATCCATATATTCGTTGGAAAACTGTAAGTTTGCGAGTACTTTGATCTTGTGAGAGCCATATAAAAGGGCTCTAAAAGTTGGAAGAATAAACAACAGTGACCATACTTAACTGCTCAAAGTCATATTATCACATTTTCAAAGTTAGCAAGGAGAAATTCAGTCTACTCAAATTGACAGGAAATATAGAAATAATTTTGTATTCAAAGGCAAACAGTTACATAAAATACACGCCAAAAGAACACAATCATAATAACTCACTTCTGACTGTAGATTCCTTTCTCTCCAATTGGATAAAGTAGTTTCAATGTCAACAAAGTCACCAAACTCAGCTGTATGTACAGAAAGAGGTTTATGGTACAAAGTGGATGGATATCTAAATTAAAATGACTGAGAACTCCAAAAAGAAATGACTTTAGTTTCCAAAAATTTGTTAGCTTTGTGCAAAAAGTGAACTGTAACACTAAATCAGTAAAATCAAATCCTTCTAGGTATCCTTTTAAATCTAGGTTAACTAGAATCTGACTGATCTTGAGACACAATTTAAAAAGTCAATGGAAGTAGATAAAAACCTCCGTTACGTGGTGTTATTCATACCTAGAGAGACAAAATCTTGTAATTTTGCAGCTGTAGACGTATGTGCTAAGTGTATAACGATTTTACATTGGATTAATCAGTTGTTTTAAATGCTAGAGATCAAACTTGAAGACTAAGTGTTTACATAAAAGTGAACGGATTGACAGGTGAATATTTTTTTCAAAAAGCAAACTGACACAAGCGATTCATCGATTTATTTGTATCACTCTTAATAATATTACAGTGAAAGCAGATTTCACATAGGCTTGGTAACGTGTACTAAGCAAGTAAAAGCAGATTTATTTTAACCCAAATGTCAGTTAAACGAAATGTATCTCAGTTAATAAATCTTTCAATATTCATTAGACTCTAACATTTCACTTTGACTTTGTATTCTCTAGAAACTAATGTTTACCGCTGCACATTTTCAAGAAGTGTTCTCCTCAACTGTCTATAGAATAACACTTGGAATGTAGTCAACATGGTCTTATTGCCCTCATTTCATTGTTAAAACTACTCATACTTTGGTATAATATCGAGTTCTTTCGCCTAAGAATAGAGAACAAAGACTGCGGCTGTAAATATTCAAGGCTTTACTTCAGTTGGTGGGGACTAGCAGTAGGATACATGTTGTACTTTTCGTCGAATTTAGGACCCCTGGGCATCCTTTATCATGATTCGAACTCCCTTGTGCTTTGTTTCAAGCGCCACATCGTCACCCAATGTGCCACTGGATTACAAGAGGCACTCCCTGTGTTATTATATATTTTTACGTCAATTTGCATTTCCCGTTGATTGGTTATTTTTAATCTGGTGGATAAAGCTTTGGCAATTCTTAAGATGGTTGCAGGTTTCGGCTCTCGATAAAAATACCATCACTCGCTGCCAGGGGGTACATCCATCTGGAACGTCCTAAATAAAACCAAATGTGCACCCTGCATTCCACTGCTGATCGCCTCCAACCAAAATAACACCATGTTAATCTCTAAAAGCCATCGAAGTGACCGTATTTAGGGTCGAAATGTCAACAGAGGCCCAGCATTTTGGTCCAAAATAATCAGTCAGCAGGAAGGTCTACTACTGCGAAAATTGTTTTGAACAATATCATGACATTTCTGTTCAGTCTGCTCTTATGATATGTTATTGATATAGCACAAATGTGCAGAGATACAAACCTCTACATTTTGAATCATTGTAGAAAAATTATTAAACAACAAAACAACATCGACATTAAGAAGTGACATTGGAGATAAAATATGCAGAAGAAAAATAATTAATAAAATGGCACACTACATTACGATATTAGTACATGTTTAACACCTGATACAGTGAGAATAATAAGACACTCAGCAATCTGAAGTAAAACTGCAAGTGAATTTTAACCTGTTATCTTCGAAGCATTGTTTGCATTTATAAAAAATAGTTTTAGTAAAGTATACATCCATATGATAGCAAATGTCCTAGACCATATGTCGCATATGACGTTGACGTACAATAACCTAAGAGTGGTAGCTACGGCAAATTTTTCAAGCCCGGCTACTTATTCATAAATGTATGTAATGTCTGCATGTTGCTCCCAGTCAGTTGCTTTTACATAGGTCTCGACAATTGGAATAAATTCTGTCTTACTTTTTAATATTTCTAAGTCTCAAGGATGTAAAATGTTTCGGCTGGAACAATTAAGGAAGATCAAACATATCTGATCTTTTTTCACATCTCACTAATATGTTAAGAATGAAGAATCACAATACGTGTAGTAATAGTTCATTTAAAGAATCTGTCCTAATAGAACAAAAGTAAAGTTTAGAATTTTTGAAAATCATGAAACGTGAACAAACTGACTCCAATTAGTATGCTATCGAAAGCCTCCAGTAAATCACACTTTTTTATCTGTAAATAGTCCTCAACAACGCCTCATGCCCTGTCATGACCAGGTCACCTGGTATCCCAACTTCAACCAGCATTTATAACATAAGAATTCAAAAACTGTGCATGCAATACATGTATCTAACTCGCCGCAGCCAGTAGAGGCATGCAGTCTCATGACTTATACCTAATAGTTCTTAAATAATTTTGGCAATAATCATTCCACAATACTAGAAAATCCTGCTGCAACTGCATATCTTACTTTTGAAAACTGGAATATTTCATCAGTCACAATACTGATTAAATTTGGCCAACTTTGAAAGCCTCTCTGAATTCTTTACTAGAATCCTGCTGACATCTGATAATTTCTAAAAATTATTGGTAATGTTTTATTCAACTTGGATACACTAAAAGGAACTACATTCAATCTGGATAGAGTTATAGAAGAATGAAATTTTCCTGAAAAGTGTGATGTGTCTGCGCAATACAGCTCAAACCATTTGAAAGCAAACACTATCTTGCTGAGTAACTTTACAGGAAGATGGAGAAACGAAGCACCAATAAAAACAAAAGAGTAATAGAAGAATAAATACCAGGGATGGTGATAATGAACGCGTCTTTTGGTAATGTAATCGGATACGGATTTGCAAGGTAACCTAAGTGTAACAGCGAATGGAGCTTAATTACACAAAATACTATCAACTGTATCTCAGTACTAATATGAAAACTTAATATGCATATGTTGATAGTATCTTTATAATTGAAAATGTAGTTGGCTAAAAAACTGCTGACTGATACATATTTAGGAAGCAAGTACCTTTCAAAGTTTTTGAACTTATGAATCGAAGCTGTTATTGTCCTAAAGAGAGATTTAAATATTAAATTAACTCACAACGAATAAAGTAATGTGGTTTTGAGGTGAAGACCGAATCTTTTCGCCCAAAAAGACATTATGCAACTATATATATATATATAACTGAAAAGCTGGAAAATGTGTGAATTTTCTATCACGTCAGTATAAATGCAAATATGAACTAGTATTGAGATGGTTTCTATCACGGACAGATCAGTTTTGAAGCAGCTTTAAAGAATACAATACAAATTAATTCAATACAATTTAAGTATTAATGCATAATCCTAGTTATTGTCTAGTGTAAAAAAGTATCCTTATTAATGAATCTGTTCTGTACAAAGCTAACAGGCTAATAACATTTACTTCTGCTAAGTGTAACTGTTGGACAAACGCATACAATCTCGGCCGTAAATGTCAGCTAAGACTTTCAGGAAGTACATCACAGTGGAAGTGATCCAACTGAAAAGATTTACACACCACCCATTAAAGGTATATGACTCTTCAGAGACGAAATTGCCACTGAGTACAACAGGCATCATAGACAAATTTTCGCTGCAATCCGCACTCGGCTACCATTTTCGGCTGTCATCATGACTCTATTTCACCCTTGGACGTCCAACTCATCGAGTCTCATTTGAACACTTAGCAAATCAAGTGCACTAATGAGTTGAGGAATTTGAGCGTTGCGTAAGGTCTATTAGTTAATAAATTTGGCTACGTGCATTCAGCTTTTCTGTGTCTCACTACCGATACTATCAAGGTAGTAAAAAATTCCCCTAGGATGTATTACAAAATCTAAGATCATATGTGATATTATTGAGAGAGATAGATGAAGATTTTTGATGCGGTTGAACATTAAAAAAGCAGATTATACATATAGTTGACGAATACCTTGAAGACTGTATGCTTGAAGTTTGATTGCCAGTTTCAACGTGACAGGTAGGAGACCCATTGCAACATTCCTACGAAGCTGAAGATAGAACCAGCGCCTATCAATTATGTAAACTAAAAAGTTCTAACCTTATCTGTGGATCTGGTATGAACTGAGGATTATCGATGAACAGCATAACAGTAAGAGTTAGAGCATGCTGGCGGGCATATTTATCTAGCTGTTTCTTTATTGACTTATTTAGAAATAGACACCGATGTTCGCCAGCCCAGTCCTCATAAACAAATCCGAAAAAGTAGATCTAGGTATAGATGGAAACACAAAATAGCTGTCTTACTTCTTCGATATCCAACCTCTGAGCAACATATTCTAACGCATCGCGACCAGTGGTATTAGATGAGACGGTATACTCAACGCATGTGTTATCAAGTGTGTATATTCTTATGACATGAAGGTCTTTAGCCGCAACATTATATCTGTGTGTCCTCTTGAAATTTAATTTTAGTGGCATTCCAGATCAATCACGATTACAAATCATACCAGTGAGACTTTAGTCGGGAGGACGCTTCAGATAACTTGCTTCGTTGACGCATTAAAACAACAGATCAGTTCGACTCAGAAGTAATGCAGCTGGTAACATTTGGTTACTTTTTTTATGGAAGAAGTAATTCCGCTATAAGTTACTCGGCATGCTTCGATGGTATTCCTAGTCTGAGTCTGAATTCGCTATGAATGCATTACTTCCTCTGCTGTCGAGGAATTAAGGCAAAATAAGTGTTACACAGTCAACAAAAGGGAAACATCTGATGGAGGAAGGGATGTAAAATAAAAACATGCATATGGAATTTATAACTTCTTTTCGAAGTCTGTTTAGATTTCCAATTACAAATGATTCTGAATTTTTAGCATTGAATATAAAACGTGGTGTTAAAATCTATGATATAAGCTTATTTGTTGGCCATTGTAGTCAGTATAAATGTAGTTGTGCTTGAATTATAGGTCCCAGAAGATTCATACCAATTTATCGGAGTGAGTTGGTATTATAAAACGTCCTACTTATTGAAAATACCTCATTCTTGTCTTTTTCCTGTGTATTTAGAAAGCTCATGGAACATTTGAGACCTATATGGATTAAGGATAAGGTTAAGTGTGTAGCGGTAAATAATTCCCCAAAATTATTGACCACAGCAATCACTCATTGGATGCTGACCACCACTGTTTAAGTCGACTTGTTTAGCTGAAGGCTTCCGGTCAAGCATCCCCGCCATTTGGTACCTCGTCGTGTCACGTGCACGATCACTAGCTAGCTAGCTATCGGCTGGTTTTGGTTACTAAATATATATCTTGGTTTGGGCGATCAATTATTGGCTTTTGCTTTGTCTTTGGTACGCGAGAATAAATTAATTAAAAGTTGTTGAACGAGATATCACGTCAAACCTTTAATATCCGTCAACCTTTAAACTGGTGAGCCCAACCGCGAACTTTATCCACGAAAAATCCGCAGATAACCCCGGTGAGTTCGTTCCATTTTGTATTTGTTCTTGTACCATATATTATTCGACATAATTTTCGTCATGAGTGATCTTAGTCCCAAGGTCATCCGTATCCGCTCAACTCCTAAAACCATTCAGCTCGTACCATACTGGCCAGATAATGCTGAAACGTGGTTTCTGCTAGCTGAAGCAGATTTTTGTGAGCATGGGATAACTGATCAACGTTCACAGTTACTTGCAGTTATTCACGCCCTACCGCGGGAATTCAGCAAGTACGTAACATCACAGATGCTGAGTCCCGAGGTAAGTAACTCGTACGAGTTGCTGAAAGCATCCCTCCTCAGGAGAAACGCTCTCACGGACAGACAACGTCTAGATGAATTATTTCGTAACATCGAGTTAGGAGATCAGTCAGCCGTGAGCATGGTGACAAGAATGAAAGAAATCGTCGGGCAAAGTCAGTTCGACGAAGGACTATTTAGAGAACTCTTCTTATCCAAGTTGCCACAATCTGTACAGACCGTACTTGTAACACTTCAGGGTGTTATAATAGAGACTTAGCTATTAATGCAAATAGGATTCTAGAGATTACCAAACGGTCTGTCCCCGAAATATGCTCAATGACTAAGCAGACTTCGAGTAAGGATCCTGCAATGATAGAGTTATGCAACTCCATCCAGCAGATGTTTAGGTCGAACATGCGTTCTAACTCCTCCAACCGTCGTCCTAAATCTCCTCAACGCAGGAACTCGCGTGGTCGATCTAAGTCCAAACCACGTTCACTGAAAAACCCCGACTGGTGCTGGCACCACAACACCTATGGCCAAGAAGCGAAGTGTTGCCGTAAGCCTTGTAACTTCGGAAATGTCTCAAAGTCTGCGGGAAACTATCCCGCCGGCACGCGTTAGCGGTGGCACTAGCCGCCTACTTTACATCCATGATGTGATAAGCCAGACTCGATACTTAGTCGACACAGGCGCCGAAGTCAGCGTCCTTCCTGCTACAGCAGCAGATCGACAGAAGGAACCTACCTTCAACTTACAGGCTGCAAATGGAAAACCAATCGCAACCTTTGGTAGGAAATACGTCTGTCTGAACGTAGGTTTACGCAAACCTATTCGATGGATTTTTCTTCTCGCTGACGTTACAATGCCCATCATTGGCACAGACCTACTTAATCATCATGATTTACTCGTAGACGTCCGCCGAAAACGACTGATTGACAATACTACTAGTCTGTCTATCAAAGGCATCACCTACATAGGCCATAGTTTGTCAGCCGTTAAGATAAAGGCAATCCTTGATCCAACTTTTCAACCTATTGTTGACAAGTATCCGGAACTTAATTGCCTGTCGAACGACCTACCGTGCATAACCAGCAATGTTATGCACCACATCATTACCACAGGACAACCTGTGACATCTAAAGCACGACGACTAGCTCCTGACAAACTGAGAATCGCCAGGAATGAATTTGACCATATGCTTAGCCTTGGCATCATTCGACCTTCGAATAGCCCATGGGCATCCCCACTTCATATGGTTCCGAAAAAGGATAGCAACGATTGGCGACCCACCGGTGATTACCGGCGAGTGAATTCCAAAACAACCCCTGATTGCTACCCGTTGCTTCATATACACAACTTGACGGCAACCTTATCCGGCGCGACTATATTCTCCAAAATCGACTTGGTTAAAGCGTATAACCAAATCCCGATGGCAACAGAAGACATCCCGAAAACGGCTATCATTACGCCTTTCGGACTTTTTGAATTTCTCCGTATGCCATTCGGTCTTCGGAATGCAGCCCAAACATTCCAACGCTTCATTGACGAAGTATTTCGCGGTCTCGAATTTGTATACGCATACTTAGACGACTGCCTCATTGCCAGCCCAGATAAGGAAACTCACCTTCGGCACTTGGACTTGGCATTTGACAGGTTACGCTAACATGGTGTTACCATTAATATTCAAAAGTGTCAAATCGATGTTGACTCACTCGACTTCCTGGGTCACACTATTGACTGCAAGGGCATTCGCCCACTGGCTACAAAGGTCGAGGTTATATTGAACTTTCCAGAGCCACAGACATTGAAAAGTCTCCGCACTTTTAACGGCTTAGTAAGCTATTATCAACGCTTTATTCCCAACTGTGCCTCTTTGATTCAGCCATTAACAGACCTTGTCAATCACGTCTCATAAACCGTTAATGCCCAGCTCTCGCTACCCTCGGGCCCACGCTGTTCTTCGAAGATTTTCAGAAACGCTTAGTTATAACGGACGCAAAAACCAAAACACCGATCTGCCGCTTGATATTTCTTTATTGTTACACCAACATATAAAAAGAATAAGTGAACTAAGGTCTGTGAACAAATATTACAATAAGAAATCATAAGATTACTTCTGACGATGTTTCACTCTTCTTTCTGAACAGCGACCGATGAGACGATGACTGTCGTATTGATGCCTCCGCGAAAATTGGTGAAGTTGATTTTGAGCAAACAACCAAGAATTGATCGTTCAATCTTCAACTCCATTGACAGACCTCCTTCGAGGGAATAACAAGTCCATAGAACTTGACGCGTCTGCTCGAAATGCTTTTAACCAGATTAAAAAAGCTATTGCGAATGCCACACTTCTGATGTATCAGGATCCAACGGCACCGTTAAGTATCTCGGTTGATGCATCAAACACTGCAATCGGCGCAGTTCTACAACAGCTAGTTGACAAAGAGTGGCAACCACTCGCCTTTTTCTCGAGGCGCCTTCAATTAGCTGAAACGAAGTACAGCACATTCGGCAGAGAACTTCTGGCTATGTACTGTGCTATACGACATTTTAGACATTCGGTAGAGGGTCGTGAATTCATAATTTTTACTGATCACAAACCTCTGACGTACTCTCTGAACTCACCTTCAGATAAGTATTCACCCAGGGAATCACGACAACTGGATTACGTCTCACAGTTTACATCAGATATTCGCCATGTATCCGGAGTAAACAACACTGTGGCAGATGCCTTGTCGCGCGTTTGTTCCCTCACCCAAATCGACGGCATAGACCTTGCAAAACTGGCTCGTCTTCAAAAAGAAGACACCGAGCTTCAACATGAGTTGTCGAAAACAACTCTACAATTAGCTGAGAAACCCTTAGGTATGGGAAGAGATACTATTCTATGTGACATTTCCACGAGTACTCCTCGCCCCATCGTGCCTAAAAGTTATCGCCGTAACGTCTTCAATACGTTGCATGGCTTATCTCACCCAGGTATTCGAACTACTGTCAAGCTCGTAACTAGTCGGTTTTGTTGGCCTGGCATTAATAAAGAAGTAAGGGAATGGGCACACACGTGCTTAGCTTGTCAAAAGTGCAAGGTGATAAGACACACCAAAAGCCCACTTGGCACCTTTCTTCTCCCTGACGCTCGTTTCGAACACGTCCATATAGATTTGGTTGGTCCCCTTCCTGAATCACATGGATATACTTATATTTTAACTTGCATCGATCGATTTACACGATGGCCGGAAGCAGTACCCATCAAGGATGTATCTGCTGAAACAGTCGCACGCGTCTTCGTAGAAAGATGGATTGCTAACTTTGGATGCCCATCTTCCATAACAACTGATCGCGGGCGGCAATTCGAAAGTGGCTTATTCTTTGCCCTGACTAAAATCATAGGTTGCATGCGATTTCGAACAACAGCCTACCATCCTCAAGCTAATGGTATGGTAGAACGTCTACACAGACAGCTGAAAGCTGGTCTGTCAGCTGCAAACACCACCCATTGGACTGAATCCCTGCCGTTAGTTCTCCTAGGGATACGAAACGCCTTGAAAACCGATGCTGGTTGTACTAGCGCCGAGCTAGTATATGGCACGACACTGCGACTGCCTGGTGAATTTGTTTCTCCCTCGAGCTTCCCACCAGTGGTAGATCACGCTTCATACGTCAGCAGGCTTACAAACGCAATGCGTTCAGTTAAACCTGCTCCCCTTCGCCCACAGTCCATTGATGTTTTCGTTCATCCGTGTTTGAAAACTTCTTCACATGTATTTGTTCGTCGCGACTCTGTGCGCAGACCCCTGGAACCCCCATATGACGGACCTTATAAGGTAAT